GAACAGATGATTCTCGATGTTCTGAGTGCCAGCGGCAGAGAAGTCTGATGTTTTTGCTTCGGCTTCTTGAGGCAGGGCTTGCAAACCCATTTTCTTTTCGTGGAGAATCGCTAGGTTGAATGTCGAAACCATGCTGCCAGACCCACGAAGTCTGCCTGCCAGCACGCTCGGAAATCGTATAACCTGGAAAATGGTTCCATGGGAAGATGCTCCATTCGTCTTGCAAAGCATCCATGTTAACAAACGACTTGCTGGATGAGCCTCCGTCTGAAGCACGCTGGGGCTTAGTAGGAACGTCGGTTTCCATTTGGCCGCAGGAAGGGGATGCATTCGTTTGGGGAAGGTTTCTCTGCGACGCGACTCGGGGAACTTCAGCCCAAACGCGTTCAATCGCCCAGGTACTTATACATTCGTTACATCTGAAAACAGTATGGAATGGAAGTACTACAACACTCAATACGGTAACTAAGGCTAACCTTGAGGGTGATCACGCGAATCACGCGCGTCAGACGCGACTCGATTAGGTACCTAAGTGTAGATGCTACCTAGATCACCTCCTGCTTCAACGGCTTCAACGCGTGGTCAACGTTCGAGGCGGAGGCGTGGATTGAAGCTCTCAATGTGCAGGTGATATTGAATTGATTGAATTGAAACACGTGACTTCCACTTCAATATTATTGAAGACGTGGAGGTGGAGGTGGAATTGATCGCCACCCTGGCTTAAGGTGAATTCGACCTTTTTCGTCTAGTGCAAGCGTACAGCCGTTGAAGTCTAGGGCCGAAGAAATTAAAAGCTTTGTCTTTGGCTTGGCGATAAACTTAGCTTCTTGTATCTTGTTTTCTTCGTGTACAGAAAAGCCTGCTGTTCCGAGGATCAGGGTGTCATCCGTCTGCATGCCCACTATGCCAAACGCTTGGTTGGGGTCCGTGTTCGTTATAAGGAGGCATGGGTCGAACGTTGAAGTCGACATCCGTAGCTGCTCCCTATGATGCTTGTGGTAAGTCCCTGCACATAGAAATGGGCACCCCCCTGTTTTGGGCACCCCAAAAAAATCACGACCATTTTCAACACCATTAATTCAATCCTCTCACTGCCCACCACCGTGCACTACGATACAATCGTCACCTATTTCTGAAACCTCAGCTTCGGTTTCATCAGATTCTTCATTCTCAGCTGCGTTCACCTCCTCCTGCGCCCGTCGTATTGCCTCAATATTGGCGAACCTCGAATTCGGGCTCGTGACCACCCTCTTCCTTTTTTTCGGCTTGACGGCCGCCAATTGTTTCCAGTGCCTGAATCTGCAATTGAGCTTTTGCTAAAAGGCCATCCTTCTCGTCAAACCCTTTGTGATCTTCCTGAACAGCAATCTCTTCGTGGGCACGTCGTCGTCTAGCTGGTTGAATTGAACTACCTGAACCTTCAGATCTTGCGAGCGCCTCGGGGTCGACCACGCAATCTGGGATGTGTCTGATTGCCAGTCACTGGTGGGTAAGTGGCTATTGAATGCATTGGCCACATTTTTCGCGTTCTTTTGCGTCTGTTGCTGTTCTCCAGCAGAAGAGGGCTCAAAGTGGCTTCGCCATCGACACCGGCCACAAACCCGTCGCTTTCCAGCCACCCTTGATGTTTGACACAGTGAGCGCTTGCTCGCGTGCTTTCTGGTAGCAGGAAAGAAAGTTTTGCTTGCCGACTGGGCTTGAATCGGTCAGGAGGCTGAGAAATCCGACCTGTTTGCGGTAGTAGTGCTTAAGAGCGGAGAAGACAGACAAATCGAGCGGTTGCAGCACATGAGAGGTATGGGAGGTAAGAAAAGAAGGTGAATCTGATGCTGGTAGCATAGATACATGAAGTCAACCGTCTCGTGACTTCCGTGGCCGTCCAATACTAGCAGTCTTCGCTCCGAAGGGTCGGGTGGCTGGGTTCTTGGAATGAACACCTTTTCGAGCCACTCCACCGCAGTTTGGTCCGAAGTCCAGCCGTTCTTTGTCGCAGTGAATTGCCAGTCACTAAAAGTACTGAGATCTTCTGGGAACCACTGTTGCTGGACCGATTTGCCCTTGAAAATGACGGGTGGAGGGAGGAAGGTGCCGGCAGCGGACACGCACTCGATGAACGACGTCCAGACCCGAGAACCAGGCGTCTTCTTTTGTACAGATCGTTTTTCAGCACTGCCAACGACCAGGCCATTCTCCCCAAGTCCTTCCATGATGCCTGCTTCATCCATGTTGTACCTGTTCTCCGGCTTAATAGCCAGAATCTCGGGAAGGAAGAAATTGTTGAACCAAGGCCGAATTACCTCGGTAGAAGCGCCGTTGACACGCGCAGAGTCTCTGTGATGGCACTTCTGGGTCCGAACTGCAGGATTTCGTCTTAAAAATGCTTGCATCCAGTGTTTTCCGAGCGGTGTGTGGTCTCCTTTGACGGCGAGCATGCGCTGCGCGAACTGCCTGATCTGCGAGTGAGTGGGAGGAAGGCCCAAGGCGTCCTGAATGAGAATCCATTCGGTAAGTTGCTTTTCCTGTGTCTGAGAAAGCCTCTGAAGAGCAGAAAATGCATCCTTTCTGCATTCGTGACCATGCATGCGATTGTAAAGAGTTGCCCTCAGGACGCCCCAATCGCGAGCAGCCTTCTTGGCGGATCCGCCATTGGCGATTGCCTCAAGGGCGCTGTGAATGTCAGACTCTGTATATTTCATCAGTAGTGGCTTGAAGACACATGCGTCAATTTTTTAGCAGATTGGATGCGTTTCCGCGGTGAAATTTGCTGTTGAAGTTGACGCAGCCGTTTAGGTTGGGCACCCATCTTGGGTGCCCAAAACAGGGGGGTGCCCATTTCTATGTGCAGGGACTTATGTTGCGAACCAATGTAGGCCTGCTTCTGCAATGCCATAAAGAGGGCGGACGATCCGGATGATAGTCCCCTTTGGGTACTTATCCTGTAGTTCGATGGGAAGATAGGTTAGGACTAGGCGTGCAAGTCCTGTCGTTGAATGCGTATAGGCTTGTGATATATCCCTTAGTTCGAGGGACATACCGGACGTAAGGAGCGTTGGGGCAAGGGCTATGATTAGTCTTTGACTAGCCCGCTGGATGGTAGGCGATTGGGTCAAAAGAGTGTTCTTCTCGTCGTCGTTATAGCCTTGGACTACGAGGCGAGACTTTTCGTACGGCTTTATATACTTTCCTTTAACTTCTCGGACTAATCGTGACTTGAAAATCCGTGTTCCTCGATGCTTGGTCGGGTCGAATAACTCGAAGGTAAATACCCTCGTCCGATGAGGTCATTGATTTCCTTTTGATCGGACTGTTCAAACGGGGCACCTGGCGTTGTAATGACGCCGTCGTCTCGAAGCTTAATGGCAAGGGCAATATCGTCCATTTCCCGTTTCTGTAGGAAGGTCTGGGCGTTGTACAAGCTATGCTTCTTATTTTCGATCCCGGGGTCGACCTCGCTTGCGTGGTCCTGTGGGCGGCTTTACGGCTGTCTGGGCTGCGGGCTCCGTTGTCTGAGCTGCGGGTGCATTCGTCGATCTAAGCGGGCGTCCTCTCTTCCGAGGTTGTTCGTCCGTGCCGGGGGCAGCAGGGGAGTTATCGTCCTTATAGTACGGCTTCACGACAGTTGATCGGAAGGTCGTTGGTCCGTTAACCATATCAACCGTGATATCATGGTCTTTATACTTATAACCTTATAGGGCCTCGCCAGCCAACCTTCTCCCGCCAAACGCATACCTCGCTTTGCAACTTGAGGTTTAGAACGTCAATAGTTGTTGGACCATTGCGTGTGCCTAGGGCCTCTTTAACGTCCCGGTTGGCCATAAACTTGCGTAGTTCCTTCATAGCTTTGCGTACGACCTCACCGCGTCGGATTACCGAGGGATTCGGCGGCGAATCGGCGGTGATTCGAGGGTAAGCCCCGAAGACAAGAAGGGTAGGTACAAGTCCGTCTGGTCCGGCGGTATCGTTGACTGCTTTAACGGCCATCTGGAGGATCGAATCTGCGTCTGCCTGGCTTGAGAGCTCTGCGTACATAATCTCAAACGCTCGTCGCAAAGGGCCGTGGTACCGTTCAACCTTGCCGATAGACCAATGGGCTTCAATAGGGACTTCCTTACAGGTAATCCCTAGCATCTTGGCCTCGGTTTGAAATTCCGTTGAGGCGAAGTTCGTACCTGCATCGTGGGTAACAACGTCCGGGGGTCCTTGGTACGTATCGATCCATAAGCAGCGGAGGGCTTCCCAAGTGTCCTTTGTTGATAGGGACTTCAGGAACCTAGCCCCGTGGAAAGCAGTAGCAGAATCGACGACATGTAAGACAGGGCGGCTAATTAAGTACATCACATCGACAAGAATTTCATAGTTGAATTCATGGTCATCTTTTAGGCTGAATTTAAACCTACGAGGCTCTCGTCCGTGTAGTTGGCAGTGATGACAGAATTTGCCGATTTCCTCTAGCCGTTGCTGTTCGACTTCGTGGCCGGCCCGGGTTAGCAGCTTGAATAGGCGATCTGTAGCGGGGTGCCCGAAACGGCGATGTAGGCGACGTAGTTCCCCTTCTGTAAGAAAAACGCTCTGTTCTTGCTTGCTAAGATCAGGGTGGCGATCAATTCCACCTCCACCTCCACGTCTTCAATAATATTGAAGTGGAAGTCACGTGTTTCAATTCAATCAATTCAATATCACCTGCACATTGAGAGCTTCAATCCACGCCTCCGCCTCGAACGTTGACCACGCGTTGAAGCCGTTGAAGCAGGAGGTGATCTAGGTAGCATCTACACTTAGGTACCTAATCGAGTCGCGTCTGACGCGCGTGATTCGCGTGATCACCCTCAAGGTTAGCCTTAGTTACCGTATTGAGTGTTGTAGTACTTCCATTCCATACTGTTTTCAGATGTAACGAATGTATAAGTACCTGGGCGATTGAACGCGTTTGGGCTGAAGTTCCCCGAGTCGCGTCGCAGAGAAACCTTCCCCAAACGAATGCATCCCCTTCCTGCGGCCAAATGGAAACCGACGTTCCTACTAAGCCCCAGCGTGCTTCAGACGGAGGCTCATCCAGCAAGTCGTTTGTTAACATGGATGCTTTGCAAGACGAATGGAGCATCTTCCCATGGAACCATTTTCCAGGTTATACGATTTCCGAGCGTGCTGGCAGGCAGACTTCGTGGGTCTGGCAGCATGGTTTCGACATTCAACCTAGCGATTCTCCCACGAAAAGAAAATGGGTTTGCAAGCCCTGCCTCAAGAAGCCGAAGCAAAAAACATCAGACTTCTCTGCCGCTGGCACTCAGAACATCGAGAATCATCTGTTCAAAGAGCACAGGCTTGTCGATCTGTCCGGGAAGAGGGCCGCCCGCTCTTGGGAAAGGAACCAGGGACAAGACCCGTCAAAGAATATTGTGGAGATGTTGAACCTCAATGCTTCAGACCCCAAAGAGCAAGGTATCGCGAACGCCCTCATCCAGCGCTTCGATAAGGACCATTTTCAGAGACTTCTTCTCGAGTGGGTGGTCGACGCCAACGTCTCCTTTCGCCAGCCCGAGCACTGTCGCCTCCGACATATTTTCGAATACCTGAATCCATCGGTCGCAGTGACGAATGCCCACATCTCGCACGATACCGTTCGAAAGCGAATTGTTGACCTTTATACCCGATACAAGACGTGCGTAATCGACAATCTAAAGAGCACCCGGGCCAAATTCACATTGCGTTCGACGGCTGGCGTTCCAGGAATCGGCACGCTTTATACGGGATTATATGTTTTACATCGACAAGGATGGAGTTCCATCAAAGCTTGTCCTAGGCATGCCGGAGCTGAAGATCTCACACTCGGGAGAAAACATTGCAGCCCAGATCCTCGAGATCCTAGAGAGCTATGAGATCCTCGACAAGGTGGGCTATATTACACTGGACAACGCTGGCAATATGGATACGGCGACAGAGGAGATTGCAGAGGCACTGGGCTTTGATCCGAAGAAGCGGAGGTGCGATGCTTCGGCCACGTGCTCAACTTGGTGGTCAAGGCGCTATTATTTGGACACAAGGCCGACGCGTTTGAGGCAGAGATTAACGGGGAGCCTGTTCTTGACGCGGTCCAGCATGAAATCTGGCGAAAGAAAGGCCCAGTCGGAAAGCTCCACAACCTAGTAAATTGGATCCATCAGTCCGATAAGCTGACGTACCGGCTTCGTGCGCTTCAGGAAGAGTCCTTTTCACAGTCGGACGACCCAAGGTTCGAGCGAAGAACCCTGTGGACGTTGTCCTTGATAACCTTACTCGTTGGCTTTCGACTCTTTATATGATACGGCGCGGCCTTGAGTTGCGGCCTTTCTTGGAAGACCTGACTGAGAAGGTCACGCTTGAGTTTAGGAAAAATGCCGCAATGGGATGAGAAGGGCAAAGAGATGCCTTTGTCTCTCCGCGAGGAGAGTCTTCTCAGCGATAAAGACTGGAAGGTCATTGGGTTGATGGATAGGGTGCTTGTTGACTTCGAAGAAGCACTGAATGCTAGAAGGTGACGCCCAGAGCCGAGTTCGAAAAGGAGGCCGCATTGAAGCATACGGAAATATGTGGGACGTTGCCTCAACCTACGAATTCCTGATGGACAGACTAGAGGAGGAAAGCAGTAGCGGAGAAGTTCCCCGATCCAGAGCACCTCAAGGCTAACATTAATCTGGGCTGGGATAAGTTGAACGACTACTATACGAAGCTTGACGAGACGCCAGCATACTATGCTTCTGCTATTTTAAATCCGGTTTCGCGTTGGGGTTATTTCGAGAATACATGGACTGACAAAGCACAGCTCCCCTGGCTACAGGAGGCAAAAGGAATGGTGAGAAACCTGTGGGAGGAGGAGTACAAATCGCTGCCGATCCTCCGATGCCTGACGAAGAGCGTCCGTACAAGCGACTGAAGGCAATGAGCGCGCTTGAGAGACACCGAGCCCAGAGGACTTCGTCGCTGCCCAACGAATCTTCCTCTTTGGAAAGTTCACTGAATCCGGACCATGATGAATATGACCGCTGGCTGTCGAGTGCTGACGCTGAGAATGATCCTCTCGTCACCAACCCATTTCAGTATTGGTGGCAGAGGCGGAAAGACTACCCACGGTTGTCGCGGATGGCTCTCGACTTGCTCTCGATCCCTCCCATGTCCGCAGAGTGCGAGCGTCTCTTTAGTACCACTGGGCAAATGGTGTCACCGCTACGGACTCGATTGGAAGCCAGCACGATAGGGATTACGCAAACGTTACGGTCGTGGGTACGGAATGGCCTAATCGACGCCGTGGATACGTTGGTTGACGTGTCAGGGGAGAATGCGAATAGCATTATATGGAGTCTAGGATGATACTGGACATGCTGCCGGCTAGGGCCCTCGGCGACCCCATGGGCCGTACGTGGTTCAACGTCTTCAATTCAACTCCATCGCCCCCATCTGAAGGCAGGTGGTTCAACTCAACGGGACCAATGATGAATAAGCTGTCAACGCAACTCAATAATGAGGCCAAATTGATGGAATTGAATTGATCGCCACCCTGGCTAAGATGAAACCAAGGATGTCCCCATTTGCGTATAATAGGGATGCGGGTCTCGCCTTGGATAAGTTCGTCTGTGGTATTATTGAAATAGACGTGCAGCCTATCCATGTCTGCAAGGCAAAGCAAGAAAGGGGTCGGAGCGTTGAGGACCTGGAAGTCGATCTGTCCAATAGCTGTTCGTACGTTAACATTCCCTATAGACGATGTTGACTCTCCTTTTCCGAACGTGATGGAAGCTCTTCCGGCTGTCGATTTATCTATAGCAACGGAAGGATCTTCCCGCTGCAGCGCAAGATACTGTTGCATACCGACAGTCGAGACGTTGGCTGCACCGGTATCTGGAAGGATGCCTTGAAGCGTCCTGCATACCGGTCCTCAATAAGGAACTGGTTGGATGGGGTCTTTGGGGCATTATCGGCGTAGATGTCTTCTCCGGTGACTTGGTGCAAGAAAGCCTGGTCTGTAAGGAACTGCGTTACGTCCTGCAACTGGTCTTCGTCTTCGTCGTCAAACGGGTCACTAGGGTCAAAGTCGGCTTCCTCGTCCGTATCGGCTCCTTCATATTCCGTGAGGTAGGCAGCGTAGTCCGTAGCTGTGGCCGTAGACCCACTGAAGTGGCATTGTGAGATATACTGGCTTCGTGACTTACGTCTTTCTTCGTCGGAATGCCTCGTTGACCAACATTCTGGCTTTCCACAAACGAAGCACTTCTTCGTCCACTGTCGTTTCTGATCTCGGCTACCTTGTGGGTTCCTCGGGGCCGAAAGAGGAATATCCGCGGTTCCTACCGTACTGATTGTACCGTCGGTCCATGTAGTAGCTGTCCGTCGAGGTTGTATATATAGCTTGTCTACTGATAGAGGTCTCGATTGAAGACCGTAAATCAGCAAAAAGCTCTTCGCACACGCGGGCAGGCTTGAACAATGCGTGTTCAAGTTCTATGACTCCTCGGCAGGCTCGGATAACTGTAGTACGTAAATTATCCTCCCCTCGATACTCAGGGCCTAGGGCCCTCTGGCAAAGCTGTAGCTTATCAAGTAGCAGCTGAAGAACCTGATGTAGGGTCTTATCACTATGTTCCCTACGGACCCTATCGAAGGTAGCAGTTGTCCAGTCGGTGTAATAGTGATGATGGTTAACATCGGTGTCGAAATGCGTCTTAACCTTGTGATACGCTATTGCAAATGTATCGTCTTGATCGACGTAATGAAGGTAGAAGGTTTCTGCTCGTCCGTTAAGAATCCTAGGAAATACCGCATAGAATTGGGTCTCCCGGATCTGTGCATGGAAGCAGATGTTGAAAAGATCTTCATCTTATCGTCAAGGAGGTCGTAGGGCTCGCCTGTGTACTTTTGGTCTTTGTCAAAGGTCTTTAGAAACTGGGCAGAAACGGCGGGGTCAAGCCGTTCGTTCGAACGGAACGAGGGGCAGGGCCTTGTACGGCTGATGCCCGTCAGGCTGGGTCTGCCTTGAAGGAAATGACTGTAGTAAGGGGCTTGGGAATAGACTTCGTCTGGGTCTGTTGAGTGGGGATGTCTTGGGAAAGCTTTCCTGGGAAAATGGGGCTTGGAATAAGGTTCCTTGGGGTCATCTGTTGGGCTTGCTCAGGAGGCCTCTGGGGTCCTTGGGAAACAACCTGTTGCTGCTGTTGCAAAGCCTGGGCTTGGGTTGTAGGCTGGTCCCTTGGTGACTGGTCTTGGGTCGGATTTTGGATATTCTCTCGGGAAGAAGGCGTTGCGAGGGCTTGTTGTTGCCAGGAAGCATTTGATCGTACGTCAAATATCTGTTTTGTGAATTCCTCAGGGTCCCAAGTAGGAAACTGTCGGCTTCGGGTAGCTTAATCAAGGATCGTTCGATTCGCTGGTGGTTCGTCCCAGTATATACTCCCTTTCGGCGGAGAACCCGGCGGAGCTCCCGCCGGTATGAAATTTCAACCATAAGGAACATGTCTAGCGTCCATCCTTCAAAGTCTTGTTGGAAAGCATGGAAGACTTCATCATCCCACATCTTCTCAAGAGTATAGGCTTTAAGGGCCTTAGCTGCGTACGTGGTTGCATGTATCTCCGTTATATTATCGACTGAGATATCTTTGAATCGAAGCTGAGGGTCTATAGCGGAAAAATCGGCCGCGAAGTCGGTTCCGCGCATAAATTCCTGAGCAGAAATAGGTTGGCGTAGGCGTACATCTTCTTGAGGTTGTATAACCCTTATGCCTTCTGTTTGTCCTTGTGACATGTTGATTGTTGTGATGTCAAGGCTTTCCTACCGGCTTGGTCTAGTCGGTTCTTGTCGTGTGTGTAGCATAGACTTCCTCTCTCAGGACTGTGGTGCAACCTATAGAAATAGGTCTCGCAGGGAATTCTTCAAGGAATCAGGTCTTTCTCTTCCACTTGCAAACTTCCTCTCTCAGGACTGTGGTGCAACCTATAGAAATAGGTCTCAGGAATTCTTCGAGGAAACGGGGATGCTTTTCGATACCTAACTTTCTGTGGTTAAACAGACGTTCAACCACTGATCAGTGTTGGGTCGTGGGTATTCGTGCTGTGCACAGGGTGATAGAGAATACGAATCAAAGGTGCTAAAGAGCTATGCCTGTGACTGTTGTATTGGTAATCTATGAAGAGAAGAGAAAAGATGAAGAAGAATGAGGAAGGAGGAGAAGAAGGAAGGAAGGGAGGAATGAAGGGAGGCGTGTAACCCCGGTCCGAATGTCTTCCGAGACCCTCCTATAAAGCCTCCTTCTCGCGTAGGGCCAGTAGAGCCCATGTCCCCACATAATGAAGTCCTCCGCATCTAGACAATATCAACATGCTTGATTTTCGACGTGTTCGATACTCCTCGGGTCAGCTGTACAGCTCCCTTATTATCTCCAAGCAGTAGTGGCACTGTTTGCTCCCCCTTTCCTTCCAGCTCTGCAAGTAGTCGACGTCCCCAGAGAGCAGCTTTGTGGCCTCCCCATCCCAACATACTCTGCTTCTGTCGTAGATCTTGCCACTGATTTCATCTTCTTGCTATACGTCATGACGGCGCCTCCGTAGACCATAAAGATGAACCCCAGGATACTCTTCCGGTCCCTTGGATCAGTAGCGTAGTCGGTGTCAGAGAACGCTTCCCCATCTTGTAGGCCTGCAGAGCCGACGTGCCCTTCGATGTTGTGGTCAATGGAATAATAGTCGATATCGCTGCCTTCGACTCCTTGAGCGTGCTCATTATTTCCGCCATATGTGATACCGTGGTGAATAGTCCTGCCGACATAACCCAATATTCGTAGCAAAGCCTTCCAGTGGTTCCAGCATGCCTCTACCGTGAAAGATGCCATTCTGTTAACTGCGAATATAATGTCGAACCTCGTATTGCATAGCCAAATCAGCTTTCCGAGCAATTCCACGTATTTCAACCATTCGTCATGGTTCAGAGGCCGTCCGGTTCCTCAACGAGCTTCCGTATAGCTCCAGGTTCCATGGGGTTGCGTGCTTCATTGAGTCGTCGTAGAAATTCTGCCACGATTTCCTTCGCAAATTGTGATTGACCAATCATCAGCTTTCCTTTGTGCCTTTGAATCCGAATTCCGAGAATGTTCTCTGCTTCTCCGAGGTCTTTCATCTCAAATCTTCCCTTCAGCTTTTCCTTGACCAGTTCAATGGCATCCTCGTCCCCCCCTGTAATCATAAAGTCATCCACGTGCACGCCGATGATTACCCCCGACTCTGTATGTCTGAATATTGTCGGGTCCACTGTCATCGGTGAGAAACCAATCTCCTTGAGATATTCTGATATTAGCAAATACCACATCCTTGCAGCTTGCTTCAATCCGTACAAACTCTTCAGGATCTGAACGTATTTCCCGAAATATTGCTGGAGCTCAGTTGGCACTTTCATGAAGATCCTTTCCTTTAGGTCTGCTGCAAGGAACGCAGCCACAGCATCCATCTGGTATACCTTCCAGCCTTTCTTCGCCGCTAAAGCTAGAATGATCCTCATCGCATCGAGCCGGATCGTGGGTGCGAAGGTTTCCTCGTAATTGATCCCGTGTTTCTGTGTGAACCTCTCGCGACTAGACGTGCTTTATACCGTAGTATCTTCCTTCTTTGTCTTTCTTGTGATCAAACACAAGCTTGGCATCAACTACTTCTTCTCCGTGCACGTCAACTTCGTTGATTTCCTCCGAGAATGTCTGTCGTCGAACGAGATTCTGAACTTCCTCATCTATAGCTCCTACCCATTGATCCTTCTCACTGCCTTCCATCGCCTGTCGGAAGGTAAGCTTTTTCGGGTCGAAGTCGTACAGGTCTGTATTAGGCTGGAGAAGCGTCCTTGCTACCATGGCTCTTTCCTTCCTGCCACTCTCCCCTCGCTTCTTCAGACGTTCTGCCATGCGCTGTTCTTCTCTTTGCCGCCATTCCAGCTCTGCTCGCTGCTTCTCTGCTCTTTTGAGTGCCACGGCCTCTCGTCGAATCTGGGATCTTGTTTTCGGCAGACTCCTTTCAGCAGAGGTTATATCCGCCTCCCCTGTATTGACAACGATTGTGTCTCCTTGGAGCTCTTCCTCCGAATCTGCAGTGTCTTGGTCGGTCGGGTTCCCATCCGCTGCTTCTCCGGCATCCTCCCCAGCTTCTGTAGCTTCCTGGTCCATGGTCCTATCCTGACCGAATCTTCGGCATCAGAGTCATCATCAGTGAGCTCCCTTGCTCCTTTTCTCTTCCTTCTCATCGTCATACTGCGATTGTGATTCTTGGCTGATTTCATTGTCCATATACTTGCTCTCATCGAATTCCACGAATCGAACCTCGTGGACCTTCTTATCAGCTGGGTTCCAGACTAGATAGATTTTATCTGTCTCCTCTTTGTATCCAACAAAACTCCTTGCCATGCTCTTTTCAGAAGCTTTGTTCTCTTTTCTTTGGGAATAAATACCCAGGCAGGACATCCGAACACTCTCAAGTGCCCTGATCTTGGCTTTCTCCACGCCATAACTCCCATGGGCTTTTAGCCATTCCCTGACAACTCCCTATTTCTCAGATAGGCCGCTGTTGCGTTCGAAAACTCCCAGTATGCTGCCGGAGGTCCATTTCGTGGCGCATAGCAGACCCCTCTCTGATATGGTTCTCATGCTCCTCTCAGAGATACTATTCCCCTCCGGGTGGTAGCCCACTGTTGGTTCGATCCGAATAGCTCTCCCGTGCAAAATACCTTCATTGCCTCGTTTAGAAACTCCTTCCCGCGATCAAAGCGCATCGCCTTGACCTTTTCGCCTTTTCCGTACTCGCGACACTCTGCCTCTGCAACAACTACCCAGGCTTTGATCTTGTCGGTAATTCTCGTTTTGTCTCTAGAGAAATAAACCCAAACTCGCCCGGTAGCCTGATCGGTGATTGTCAGCATGTACTTCATTCCTTGAAGTGATAAGTCCCTGCACATAGAAATGGGCACCCCCCTGTTTTGGGCACCCAAGATGGGTGCCCAACCTAAACGGCTGCGTCAACTTCAACAGCAAATTTCACCGCGGAAACGCATCCAATCTGCTAAAAAATTGACGCATGTGTCTTCAAGCCACTACTGATGAAATATACAGAGTCTGACATTCACAGCGCCCTTGAGGCAATCGCCAATGGCGGATCCGCCAAGAAGGCTGCTCGCGATTGGGGCGTCCCGAGGGCAACTCTTTACAATCGCATGCATGGTCACGAATGCAGAAAGGATGCATTTTCTGCTCTTCAGAGGCTTTCTCAGACACAGGAAAAGCAACTTACCGAATGGATTCTCATTCAGGACGCCTTGGGCCTTCCTCCCACTCACTCGCAGATCAGGCAGTTCGCGCAGCGCATGCTCGCCGTCAAAGGAGACCACACACCGCTCGGAAAACACTGGATGCAAGCATTTTTAAGACGAAATCCTGCAGTTCGGACCCAGAAGTGCCATCACAGAGACTCTGCGCGTGTCAACGGCGCTTCTACCGAGGTAATTCGGCCTTGGTTCAACAATTTCTTCCTTCCCGAGATTCTGGCTATTAAGCCGGAGAACAGGTACAACATGGATGAAGCAGGCATCATGGAAGGACTTGGGAGAATGGCCTGGTCGTTGGCAGTGCTGAAAAACGATCTGTACAAAAGAAGACGCCTGGTTCTCGGGTCTGGACGTCGTTCATCGAGTGCGTGTCCGCTGCCGGCACCTTCCTCCCTCCACTCGTCATTTTCAAGGGCAAATCGGTCCAGCAACAGTGGTTCCCAGAAGATCTCAGTACTTTTAGTGACTGGCAATTCACTGCGACAAAGAACGGCTGGACTTCGGACCAAACTGCGGTGGAGTGGCTCGAAAGGTGTTCATTCCAAGAACCCAGCCACCCGACCCTTCGGAGCGAAGACTGCTAGTATTGGACGGCCACGGAAGTCACGAGACGGTTGACTTCATGTATCTATGCTACCAGCATCAGATTCACCTTCTTTCTTACCTCCCATACCTCTCATGTGCTGCAACCGCTCGATTTGTCTGTCTTCTCCGCTCTTAAGCACTACTACCGCAAACAGGTCGGATTTCTCAGCCTCCTGACCGATTCAAGCCCAGTCGGCAAGCAAAACTTTCTTTCCTGCTACCAGAAAGCACGCGAGCAAGCGCTCACTGTGTCAAACATCAAGGGTGGCTGGAAAGCGACGGGTTTGTGGCCGGTGTCGATGGCGAAGCCACTTTGAGCCCTCTTCTGCTGGAGAACAGCAACAGACGCAAAAGAACGCGAAAATGTGGCCAATGCATTCAATAGCCACTTACCCACCAGTGACTGGCAATCAGACACATCCCAGATTGCGTGGTCGACCCGAGGCGCTCGCAAGATCTGAAGGTTCAGGTAGTTCAATTCAACCAGCTAGACGACGACGTGCCCACGAAGAGATTGCTGTTCAGGAAGATCACAAAGGGTTTGACGAGAAGGATGGCCTTTTAGCAAAAGCTCAATTGCAGATTCAGGCACTGGAAACACAATTGGCGGCCGTCAAGCCGAAAAAGGAAGAGGGTGGTCACGAGCCCGAATTCGAGGTTCGCCAATATTGAGGCAATACGACGGGCGCAGGAGGAGGTGAACGCAGCTGAGAATGAAGAATCTGATGAAACCGAAGCTGAGGTTTCAGAAATAGGTGACGATTGTATCGTAGTGCACGGTGGTGGGCAGTGAGAAGGGATTGAATTAATGGTGTTGAAAATGGTCGTGATTTTTTTGGGGTGCCCAAAACAGGGGGGTGCCCATTTCTATGTGCAGGGACTTAGCTCAACTGGCCCCCAAAGATCTATATGGACTCTCTCTAGCTTTTCTGTCACCGCAGACATTGGCTCCCTTGAGACCTTTCTTGTCATTTTGGCCTCGGTGCAGCTTGAGCAGAATGACGGGCAGAATGAGTTGTCTCCGAGATCATCCATTACGGCGTTCAGTTTGCCCTCCATATGCTTTCCAGGGTGTCCCAGCCTAGCATGTAGTAGTCTTTCAGGCATCTTCAGGATTGACTTCAGCGCTACCCCGTTATCGCCATCCTTTTCTTGGATTGTATGGGCTCGGTGCCCTCTTGTCTGGCTCAAGCGCCACACCTTTTTATGTCTGTGGCCAAACAGCACCTCCTCCTTGCTATTATCGCCACCATCCTGTGCTTTGGACCTGTTGTTCCCTTTGTTCCATGCACTGCGGCCACGACCTGCGAATTGTGCGGTTTCTCCCTTGATTGTCGTATCGACGAGCTCCAACTCTTTGCTTTCCAGAGAGCTCTGCACCTTTTCCATTGTCAACGTCTCTGTCGAGGCGTTCAAGATCTCGACCGTAGTGTTAAAAGCGTCGTCCATGCTCATTTGCAAGAAGCAAATCAATAGCTGTTCATGGATAACAATGTCCTTGTCTTGGCTATTAATCTGAGCTCGAAGTCGCTTTAGGTCGTCGACCTTCTCCTGCACAGTTCTATTCGTCTGCGTACTAACGTCGTATAGCATTCGGATCAGCTGTCGAAGGCGCGCTTTGTTCGATGTCGCATATCGCTTAACGAGGATTGATAAATTGCTCGTGGATCGGTGAGATGGTTGACTGAGTTCTTGTGGATCTGGTCAATACTCTGTCGTATTTTCATTCTCGCAAGAGAGACATTTTTAATGTCCGCAGCATTCTCTCCTGGCGTTGATAAATCTGACGATTCCGCTGTTGCCTTACCGGTGACGCAGCTCATAAGATCGTCACTCAACAAGTTATCTTCAAGATCCATCTTCCAGCTGTCAAAGGAGTCTCTTCCATCAAGGATGGTTCCTTTGTAGTCTTTCTTGCCCATAGTGCCGGGTCTTTGCTGTCAACCGTCGATTCTTGACGAAAAAGTGTTCTCATATGCCGAGTTCAATCGTGCAGTGGAAGGATAATAAAAGCAACCGGGTGCATAACCTGTAGCGATTGAACTTGCTTCTATTCAATTCTGTCTGACAGCTCTCAACATACATATATACATAGTGGCACGTCCGTGCCACTATCCAGTGACTCACCACTTGTAACTGCTGCCTAAACATGTCTTGGTCCATGTCTCATATCAAGTCAACAATGTAGGATCACGTTTTTCATCATATGCCAGACGCAGAGTTGTTGCTGTGTAAAGGGGAAAACAGAGGAAAGGGCGTTCTTGAGGGCTTTGTCAAAATCAGTAATAACAACGCCAGGAGCAGGAATGCTGGCCCGTCGGCCGGTATCGTAGAGATGTGAGAGAATCCAGTTGAAGGCGCCTTCGTCTTCCTTGGAGGCAATACCAAAGGCTACACTGTAGCTCTTGTGTAGTCCCGTAGTCCCAATGATTTGCAGCAGTGGCATGTTGAAACGGTTGACAAGATACGTGTTATCCATGATAAGGAGTTCCGGGTTACGCTTCCAGTCAGCAAGACAGTCAGAGTATATCCAGAATATCCTCCAGATCTTGCCATTAGGGCCACGGTCAACTGCAAAGAAGGCGACTTCCCCGTCGGCCTTTGCAGCGAGGAGTACGTCGAGGAACGCTTGTGTAGATGTAGTAGCGCCGTAGCGTTGAAGACGAAGCTGGCGCCGAATGTATCCTACATCACGATCGTTGATTAGGACCTCAGGATGGTCGCGTTGGGTAGCCTCGGCAATATCCTTCCGCATATTAGCTGCGTTGCTACTATAGGTCTCAACGAGACGGTATAGTCGTTCGATGCCAAATTTGCGTTGACTGCGTTGACGAATAAGGGCAGAGGCAGCCGGCGCGAAGAGAGGCTCGTGGCAGTGGGAATTGACCTTGAAAGTAACCCTGTACGACTGCGAAGGTTGGTGGAATCGGATGTTACTGTAAAACAGGCATCCTGACTTTTGGTTGACGTTTTGTACTTGCCTCATTCTCCTCCCAGGACCTATAGCTACCACTATACTGGCACCGAATGGTGGCTGCTTTACGCTTAGCCTTCCCGGAAGTCTTGCTGTTTGCAACGTTAACGACGTAGCCTTGATCTTGCTGATCATTCCGAAGTGCCTCAAGAGCCTCGGCATATGTGCAAAAAAGTGTGTCCTGGATAGATATAGGCTCAGGGCCTTCGCCCTCGATCGTAGCCATCGTGGCGGCGGCGCGGCGGCGTTGGTATTGTGTTGAATGAGAGTGGTGATAGCTTCAAACGCTCCAAATCAAAGATATGCGGCGTAGGCAGTAGGAAAAGGGAGGCGCGCGTTGGCTACAGTGGCCGCGGCAGCTCGCGTTGGGGAACGCGCGCGCCAAATTGTGGTGCGCGCCTACTCTTCCAAATGGGGTTTAAGTCTCCGTGCATGTTTCGAAATCGTCCGTGCATGTTTCGTTACTCGGCTGTGTGTGTGTGAGCGATGTGTGTGTTCTCCCCTTCCGGCTAGGAATGTGCCCCTTTTTGGGCCCGCAGAAATCTCAACTGAATGCCCCACGTGACCTGGCAGGTGACCCATGCCGCCCTTCCTGCTGCGCCGTTCCAACAGGTGGTCATGATGCGCTGCGGGTAGCTGACAGCCCAAATCCAAAACCAAATAAATCGAAGAACAATGCCGCGGAAGAGCAAGAACAGCACCAAGCGCAACTCGAACCAATTCGAGTTGCTCGATGACGAGGAAGACGGTACGAACGACAATGTGGCCTGTAGCATCGTGGCCAATTCGACAAGCGCGGCCGACGCGACAAGGACCAGCGCCCGCGGTCGCCCTCTGAAACCGACGCTGCAATTCGACCCTGAACCGCGCCCATCACGAAAGAAATCCGCCGTCCCGAAAGCGAAACCGACGAATGCCGACCCCAATGCCAACGAGGATTCATTGGCGCGAATCGAAGCTCTCCTGAAACGCGTCGAGGAGCGGGCCGAAAGGGCGGAGAAACGCGTCGAGTCTCTGGAAGAGTTCATTCGAAACGAGCTCTTCCACGCGTCGCTAGCCCTCCGGAGTCCGCCACTCCAAGTGCGCCTCATCAGCAACAGCAACAGCACCTGCCACTTTCGCCACCACCCTCTCCGGTCCCAGGGCCACTGCCTGGCATTGGCTTGGACGTGAGTCGGGTCCTAGACAGCGACACAAAGGAAGGCAACGCCGGCACTATTCGTCGGCGCGCGAACGCTGCCCTCGAGAAGTTGGGTGACCTGTCTGGGCGTCAATTCTAAGGAAAAGGGCGTTTTCGGCTTCTCTTTCGAGAGACGGACGTCGATAAAGTACGGCAGAACGACACCTGGATAAAGACACACTTCGACAAGGGAACGCTATATGGGGAACAGTGGTACCCTCTACGGGTTGATAGAGCCCATCGTGGGGTTGCGACGGATGATATCGGATGCGCCGTGTTTGAGCGGATGAACGGGGTGAAAGTGCACAAGATGCGATGGCTCGGGACAGCGTCTGTCGACAAGGAATACCGCTCTCTGGTGGTACACCTGGATAAGAAAGAGGAGGTGGACAGGTTGCTTGCACAACGAACGGTTGAGATGGCGAATGGCGAGTGTGCATACACGCGACCATTTGTTCAGGGACTTCAACCAGCGAGATGCTACCGTTGCCACCTCTACGGACACTTGCATTATCGCTGCAAGGCGCCAGCTCCGATCTGTGGACAGTGCGCCCAACCGGGCCATTCTGCGTCGACTTGCACCTCGGACGTTTTTAAGTGTGCAGCGTGCGGTGGAAAAGGAGCACACAAGGCTACAGATCCTGGGTGCCCGGTATATCGCCGGGAACTCGCCAAGTTACGACCGTCGCCCTACTAACATACATCCTCTGTCTTAACCTTTTCTTTTCAGCACAAACCCTCTACCTATACCTGTGGTTGCCCCACAGCTGGTAGGTTAGCTACACCGGACGGCTAAAGGCAGGTGGACTCTTCGTCAAATGCGGCGGAGGAGAGTGGTCTGTACCTCATCAGACAGGCTCCAGAATTGGAAAGGGACAGGTCAAGTGAGCAAGAGACGGATTGAAGGATGTAAGAGAAATTCAGGGATTAGATCGGGACGAATTCCTTGGGCTCGGAACCGAGTATTGGACAGCTCTAGATTAGGCTTAGCGAGTCTGACGCAGTGCCTCTGACTATCGTCAATGGCGGAATATATTAAAAAAAAATCAAAAATCCAAAGAGTCAGGGGGGTTGCCTGTGCCTCCTCAACTACACAGGAAATCCTATCTATTTGCCAGACAAGGCCCTATTGGTCTTACGGGTAGCTTGCTGGCTCCATAGAAGATGCAGCCATCAACCTAGGGGGTGTGTCAGGACAAGAAAGGGCCTATAATTCAGCCCGAATGTCACGGCGAGCGAAAGGAGACTGCAGACAAAGCTAGCAAGATACTCTGTAACGAAAGAATACTAAGATGAAGAGGAAAGAAAACCACCTAACTCCTAACGCCGTGACTTCCTCATATCCTCCCTGTCGCTTCGGACCTGGATGACGGGGCTGCCCGTACCTACCGTCGGAGCTGCCCGTGCCCGTGCCCGTCCGCGGGTGCCGTGCCCGTCCCCGGGTGTGTCACGGTAACCCAGGGGTCCCAGGTAGGGCCCTGACATCCTCCTAGATTGTTTAGACCTGATATAACTACCGCAAAGACAGCCTCCCTATCGAGATCTATCACGGTCTTGGACCTCTCGGCTGTCAGTCAGCTCTGCTAGCACCGCCAAACCCTCGCAAAGCCTCCCTGCCCGAGCAATATATAGCAGCTTAGGTCGATAAGAATGGATATATACTGTCAGATGGAGAACGATACACCCCAGGCGGTCCGCAACTGCCGTACCTGCAAGCAAGACCTGCCCGAAGTCGAGTTTCGAAGCGTCAAGGACCCTACAAAGTTCACAACAGAGTGTGCTAACTGTAGGGCACGCCGAAGGGAGCGGATAACCGAATCCCGAGCCGTCGTCGCCGCAATGCAGAAGATCGCCTCGAAGCCATTGCCACGCAGAGCCTCGAAGAGGACCGATTCACTAGCTAACCTGACGCCTCCAAGGCGGACTGCACCAACGCCTGCGTCTGCGAACGCCTTACAGCCTCCTTCCATGCCTGATTTATTCCGTGGCCTGGTGCCTGCACCGACGGGAATGCTCAGAGCTCCGCAGAGGCCTTCTACCCCAAGCGCTGTAGAGGGATCTTCCCCTATCCCTCCTACCCCTGGCCTGCCAACGGTGGTTCTAGGCACGCCGATTCCTGAAGTCACTCTTTCTGCCACCCCTTTTGTGCTAAGCACGTCTATATCACAAGAATGGCTTCCTGCCACTCCTTCATTACTGCCACAGGGTCATTGCCGCGGCCGTTATACACGTCAAGTCAACATTAACCCCCGGCCACGGCCACAGCCTCAAGAGCGACAGTTCGATCAGATGGTTGATCCGCCTTTTACAGGGGACCTTAACTTGCCTGCCCTTAGTGAGGAGGATCGGGCTCTTGTGCAGGAGTTCTATACTGCCCTGAATGACGACAAGATGCATAGTTGCATTCGCTGCCAGGAGCGTTGGTTCGATATGAAGCGAAATAGCTCGAAAATCTGCAGTCGCTGCATTGGTCGAGACAGGAAGAAAGCCCTCGACGAGCCCTACTTCTTTAGCGCTGCGAATAACCTTGACTTTGGGGAAGTCCCCGCCAATCTACCTGATCTAACGATGGTCGAGGAGATGCTCATCGCTAGGGTTCACGTACATGTGAAAGTCTTGCAGGTGCGTGGCGCTCAATACAAATATCGCGGTCACGTTGTCCACTTCCTTCGCAATGTTGGCAGGCTCTTTGAAGAGCTCCCAGTCCTACCTGAAGAGCTAGATATCGTCCTCCTGCGGCCTCCTAATATGGAGGGCGACCCTCGCTTCCGGCAGCAGTTTGCTCGCGATTTCCGGGTACGTCGCTCATGCCTGTCGGCCTGGCTGCATTACCTACACCGTCACCACCCGGGCTATCGCGATATCGTTGTGAGCCAGAATCGCCTGCAACGGATTCCTCTTGATGGCAGCATAGTTGCTTCCATTGCCAGCCAAGTGGCTGACATACCTGACGGCGAGGTCCCCCAAGGCCCCGTTGAGGAGGTTGTGGAAGAGGACCCTAGCGATGCCGATGCATCAGCGATCCCGAATTTGCAGGTCACTGATACCGAATTGAACGCTCTGCAGTCCCGATTTCTTGATGGGACCCCTAACCTGAGCGCATGACTGATCTGAGTATATGCCGCGTAGCGCGCAGACTCACCACCAGATGCCACTGCCTTCCATTCGCAGGACCCCTATCGACGAATTCAACCGTTCCCAGCCGCTGTTAACGCTCGCGTTCCCTACCCTCTACCCTGACGGCAAGGCCGACTTCGTGGAGCCTCGCTTACGGAGCATCACGTATCAGGACTACCTTGGCCATGCGATGAGATGGCATGACGGACGTTTTGCCCGCCATAAGACGTGGCCTTTCGTCGCCCTCAACACGCTGCTACGTGAGCAGGTCCGAAAGCGAAGTGACTACTTCGTCAAGCAACGCGACAGCCGCCGTCAACCCCTTACCCGCGCCGACCTAGAGGAAGCGATGGCTGAGCCTGACGAGCCGGAGGCTCAGGCGCTGATCCAGTCGATCACGCGCCAAGCCGCGGTAATCAGGGGCACCCGGCCGTATTGGTATAAGCAAAGAAAGGAATTGGAAGCATATGCCTACAATCTGGGCAGACCTGGCCTTTTCGTTACTGCAAGTGCGGCCGATTACCACTGGGAGTCCCTATATCGTCACATGCCTCGATTCCAAGAGTGGAAAGCAGCTCCTGAGGCGGCGCGCATGGTCCTGTCCGGCAACTACTGCGAGACAACGCCCACATCGCCGCTTACCACTTCCATAAGCGTTATACGCTGTTTAGGACTATTGTCCTGAAGCAGAAGTTCAACCTAACGGACTTTTGGGGCCGTTACGAGTGGCAGGGCAGGGGTTCCAGTCACCACCACGGCCTATATTGGATAAGTGGCCACCCAGACTTAGATCCTGACAACGATCAGTCCCGGGAGCAATTCGCCCGCATCTGGGGATATCACGTATCTGCTGTCAACCCAGAGCCTCAGCGAATACAGGCGCCTGGGGAAGGGAATCCCCTGATCGGCAATCTATTGGAGCAGCCCCTTACGGTTCAGTTCCTATCAATGGTGGTCAACCGCGTGCAACGCCACCGCTGCAACAACTATCAGTCAATTCCCTTAGTGCAGGTTTGAAGCGGTTTAAACAGCTGGTTTGCCCGCGGCAGGCGAATGGGGGGTTCTAGGGGGTCTCCCCCTAGGAAAGTGAATTGCAGGTTACGATATTTACCCTTCGGGCTGGATATTCAGCCGTTGAGCCCCTTGCCTTGGCAACTTAACGGGTGTTCGAAGTATTTTAGATTACCAATACAACAGTCACAGGCATAGCTCTTTAGCACCTTTGATTCGTATTCTCTATCACCCCTGTGCACAGCACGAATACCCACGACCCAACACTATATTCATTTTTCCAAGCTTGGATAGCCTTGTGGTTGGGAGTGCGAGCCCAAAACGGAACGCTATTTGAAGAGACCACAGCCCTGCAACTGGACTTCATTTATCGAAGCCATCGCTGCTGACGGCCGCGCGCTTACTCCTGGCATTATATTTAAGCGATAAAAACTCCAGAAACTGTGGTTCTGGAAGGAATTCGGCAAAATAGCCCGCTGGGATTACAAAACCTGGCCCAACGGGTGGACAGATGACCATATTGCTATTGAGTGTTACGATCAAGGCCGATATGGATAACCAGAAGGGACTTGGAAGAATAGTTAATTATCGACTTCTTAAGGAAGAAGGGAAGAGGAAGAGGAACTGAAGAAAAGGAGGAAGCGGTCTATATACGTAACGGTATGTGGAAGTGGATACCGTAAGGTATGTGGAGGTGGATACCGTAACATTGAGTGACTTGAGAGGACCTATTTGCCTCACACGCGGCCATTCAACGAGTCGGAGGCTAGACTGATCATATTAGATGGACATGGATGCCAGTCAACTGTGCGTTTCCATAGCTTTCTTCCTAGGAATCACTGTTAACCGAACCAGGATGCATAGATGGCTACGTGCTTTTTGAACAACGTTTATTGCTGCTACTGTCTAGATGCGGAGAACTTCATTATGTGGGGACATGGGCTCTACTGGCCCTACGCGAGAAGGAGGCTTTATAGGAGGGTCTCGGAAGACATTCGGACCGGGGTTACACGCCTCCCTTCATCAGTGATCGGAATGGTCTGGTCTGTCTTGGTCTCGGTCTGGTCTAGACCGCCAAGACTTGGTCTGGTCTGATGATTTCTCGAGACCATGGTCGGACCGGTCGGACCGGTCGGACCATTAACTTCTATGCCTTGAGGAACGAAAGGCCTCTTCTTATGCCTTGAGGAACGAAAGGCCTCTTCTTATCGCGCGACCACCCAACCCAAATTTTTTTTCCCCCAAACTCCCGTCCTCTGATTGGTCGGGTTCCTCCCTTTTGATTGGTCGGAAAGGAAATTATCATGGTTTGAAAGCTTCCCCGCAACCTCGACTGCTTACCGCTCCTTCCTCCGGCCTCCTTTTTTTCTGATGGAACGGCCCTGTTTCGTCCGCCCTCTCGGCCGCCTATCACTCCTAGCCGGGCCCTTTGCCTTTCTTTTGGGGTGTCTTGGAAGAAGACGTATAGAACTTGCCCCCGCCGAGGTTTTGTGAGAACGGTGGTTCTGCGGCTCGGGCCTAATGAGGAAATAGTTGGGCGTTCTATCTATTTATCCCCCCCCAGTCTCGTCTTGTCCCTCCCCGCGGCCCCGGGAGGTCATCGCCGAGCCAGCGTAGCGCCTCCCCGACGGTCCTCTCACTGAGCCTCTCTAGCCGTGCCTGCGCCGCCGTCATCTCCTCGGGCACCCTGTTCCCTACCAGGTCCCTCTCCCGCACCTCCGACACGAGCATGATGCCGTCGAGCGTCGGGCACCGCGATAGCTGCACGTATAGGCTATACGGGTCGCACGGCGACGGTACCGCGCGCCCGTCGACGGTCGTCGTCCTCGCCCCCCGGAGCTCCAGCGCCACGCGCTCCAGCGTCCCGCCCTGCACCTTGTAGTCGGTGCAGGCGAAGGCCGCGGCGCACGGCAGGCCCTCCGGCTAACGTCGTTCCGCTGCCACGGCCGCTTCCGCTGGGCCTGGATCTTGACGCTGATGGGCGTCAGCAGGATCGTCCCGGACGGCATCCCCACGAAGTGGAAATCTTGGTCGTCTCCGAGGCCAGCACCATGCCGACCGGCGGCCCGAAGTGCATTGTCAGCTCCGCCGAGACCCGGTGGCCGGGGAAGGCCCGGTCGGGTATGACGTCGACCGCCGTGTACCCGGCCCCGTTCACTAGCTTCAGCCCCTGGTGCGTGTTCTGGTTCACGACGACCGGCATGCCGGGCACGAAGAGGAAGACGGCCGGCACCGGAGTCGCGCTGTCGTCGCCCTGGCCTAGCATCAGCACCGCCTCCTCCTCCGTCGGCGTGCCGTCCCTCCACTTATGCTCGGAGACGAAGATGCGCGCCGACCGTCCGTTGCCGGGCCCGGAACGCGAGGGCCGCCTCTAGGTTGAGGTTCCAGCGATTCCTGTTAAGCGGCGTCACCACCGTCACCCCAGTCTCCCACGGTATCCGCCTGCCCGCCCGGTAGCACCTCGAGTTGAGGAGGTCTAGGTCCGACCGGTCCTGCTCCCCCCGCCGGATCCGCCCGAGCAGCCGCCGTAGCTCCGGGTCGCCGGCGGCGCGCATCTGCTCGTCGAGCATGACGACCGTCGTAAACTTCCTCCATAGCGCGTGCGCCTTATCGTGCTGCCGCCGCCGCTCGGCCGCGAACGCGCCGTCCGCGTCCCACGGCACCGCCGCGCTCGGCAGCAGGATCGACCGCTCCTGCACCGGCCGGAACTGATGGAAGTCGCCGCAGAGGATGACTACCGGGATGCCGCCGAAGTCCCGCGGCGAGCCCCGCAGCCGGCAGAGCTGCTCGTTCGCCGCGTGCAGCGTGCGCGCCCCGAGCATGCTGACCTCGTCGATCACCAGCACCTCCTTCTCCTGCCAGTCCATCCGCGACCGGCCGTCGACGAAGCGTTCGCCCTGTCCCGGCAGCCGCACCCCGTCTACCTCCCTCGCCGACCCCCCCGCCTGGCCGCCCTGGCCGACCAAGAGGCCGCAGGCCGAGTGCAGGGTGATGCCGTTGATCCGCGCCGCCGCCGTCCCCGATGTCGCCGTGATTAGTAGCTGGCTCGATAGGTCCTCTGGGCGAACAGCTCGACGAGCGCCTCAATGACGCGCGACTTGCCGGTACCGCCCTCGCCGCCGACGAATAGACAGAGCTGGCCGGCGTCGCCGCTGTCGCCGGCGTCGCCGCCCTGCCGGGCCTGATCGAGCTGGCGGCATATGATGAGGAGGGCGATCGACTGCTTCTCGTTAAGCGTTAGCCGGCCCGCTAGCTCCCTGCCGGCGGCGACAAACGAGCTCGACGGGCCGAGCCGCACACGCATCCCCGCGTCGGCGTCCGCTGCCGTCACCTCGACGTCGTCCTCGCCGAAGCCGCCCATCACCCCGCGTAGCGCCGCACTCGGTCGGCCCCGGGCGCCGACGCCGCCGCGCCGCCCTGGATTCCTTGGATCGCCCGCTCCGCTCCCGCGCGGCGCTCCTCTGCTGCGACTTGATGGCTCTTACCTGCTCTTGCCGCGGCAGCGCCGCCCCGGAGAGGGTCGACCCGCGAGGATTACCCGCCTCGGCCCCGCCTCGCCCGCCACCACCGTCGCATCGAGCTCGGCCGCCGACGAGAGCGCCGACTGCTGAAACCGGCAGAGCTGCTGCGTCATCGCCAGCAGCTCCGCCGACCGCGCCGTTACCTGGCCCGCGCCGGCGGCGTTCCGGACAACGTCGATGAGCCGCGCCGCGTCGCCTGCGCCGCCGGCGCGGTACACCTGCCCGCCCCTCGGCCGCCTCCTCCGCGCCCTCGTTGGCGCGTGCCGCCGCCGCCGGCTCGCCCTCCTCGGTCGTAGCGGCCCATTGCCTGGCGTCGCGCTTGGCGTCCTCCGCCGACCGCCGGAGCAGCTGTACGTTGTCCGCGAGCCGCGCGATCCTCGGCGCCAGCGCCGCCCGCCCCGCGCCCAGATGTCGTTGATGTCGCCCGTCTCCTCGCAGACGAATGCCTCCCACGGCACGAACAGCGCTAGATGCTGCACCGCCGCCCTTTGCACCGTTAGCCGGGCCACGGGCCGCGTCGCCGTCCGACGGTACGCCCTCGGCTTTGCTATACGTACCTCCGATGACATGACTCCTCGTCTTCCTCGCCGAACTCCTTACTGAGGTACCCGTCTAGGCGTACGCTCGCCCCTTACCCGGCCGTCTGAGCACTTGCGCCCAGTCCTTCCCGGAGCCCAGCTCTCGTTAAAGGGTATCTCGCCCCAGGCCGCGCAGCCCTCGGCGCCTCCGCCATTCCGTTTCAGCCTTACGAGCGACGCGTAGTCGTAGAGACAGAGGCCCTGTAGGAGCCCGCCTCTATGCCGGTAGGCCTCGATGAAGGAGATCCTCGGCCCCGCCTCCTCGACGACGACCGTCTCGTCCGGCGCGTCGCTCGCCGTCGCCTCTACCCCGCTCGCCAGTCGGAGGTGCCGCCACTGGCGGAAGACGGCCCAGTAGAGCTGGTTCGTGTTCACGTACGCCCACGCCGCGCCGCTGCAAAACTCCGCGGATACCCCAGGAGGTCGGCGATCACCTCGACCTGGGATAGCGGGCGCTCCGTGAAGATTCGGTTCGCCGCCTTTAGTAGGAACACCCTCATCTTGTTCCTTATAGGGTCCGCGCGGCCTCCTCTCCGGCTCCGTTCCCCCCGCTATCGTTGCGGTCGGCGCTGGGGATACTGCTCTCTGCTGTCGGCTCTAAGGTCGGGAGTAACTCGGCCGCGGCGGCCACCCGCTTCCACGTAGGGTCCTCTACCTTAGTCGCATAGTTGGTGATGTAGTAGATCAGGGCCATGGTCTTGCGCTGCGTCGCGATGAACGAGATGTCGTGGTTGTGCCGCAGCCCTACCGCCATCGCCTTGTTCCACCGGTTCACCATGCTATGTGTCCGCCGGATCTCCAGCACGCCGTCCGCCGTGAGCGCCGTCCTCTCTACTAGCCTCCAGGGCGCCTTAAAACGGCAGAGGTCGCCCTACGACCGGCCCCCGCGAGCGAGTACTTGACGCAGGTCGCGCTATGCGTGTGGACCTGCGTCGCGCCGGCGCAGAAGTTGGCCTCCTCGTCGAACGCGTCCGTAAAGCGCTCGACGTCGTCAAGCCACGACGACATGTGCGCCGTGATCGACCGCTCCGCCTGCACAGCGTGGTGCCCTTCTGCGTCTAGCTCCTACGGCCTAGGGTTAGTTTCGGCCCCTTTAGTCTGCGTTCGACGGAGCCGGGAGGCTACGCCCCTAGACGTCGTCCGCCTTACCTCGGAGAAGACGCTGTCTACGTAGCGGATTATTCGCTCCCGGTACGCTGCCTGCTCCTCGCCGCCGGCGCCGGCCAGCGCCTCGCCGAGGCGCGCATTGCCCTTTAGCCAGAGAAGCCCGTGGAGGTGGAGAGCACCTCGTTCGTTCGTCTCTACCGCCCCGTAGTACGCCCCGACGTGCCCGAACACCGACTCGTCCCCGACGTCGACGTAATGCTCGAAGAAGAGCTTTATCTCCCGGTGAAAGAAGACGGCCGCGCTCATCGGGTCCGCTATCGCCAGCCGCACCCGCTTATACGCAGTCCCTAGCTCTCTTAGGAAGGCCTCGGCCGCTTCGGGGTCGCGGGCGCGGTACGCCGCCAGCCGTAGCTTTACCGGGTTCGTAATATCGTTCGGGTTTAGCGTGAACCAAATGGCCGGCACCCCGTATCTGACGATGAGAGATAGTATCTTCTTCCGCATACTTAGGCGGCTCTCCCTCGACATCGGCTGCCGGTGGCCAAACACCGATAGGGACCGGAGGAGCTCCTTTACCCCGTCGTCGCCGGTCTTGCCCGTGGCCTCGAGCTCGACCCTCGCCGCCTCGAGCCTCTGCGTCGTTAACGACTTTAGTAGACCCTCGACCTTTGCGAAGTTCTTCCTCGTTACGCCTAGCATACTGGCCTGGCGGTTCCTAGACCGCCGCGTCCGCCGAGTCGGCGAACTCGTTGCCGCGCCGTACCTGGATATAGGGCTCGTACTTGTCGCCATCGCCGCCGCGCGCCGCCCCTCCGGCCGCCGTCCCCACCCACGTCCTCGGGCCTGCGCGGGCGCGCGCTCCGTCGGGCCCGACGGCGTCGCGGGCGAAGCGAATCTTCTCGGCGTCCGCCACCCCTGGCGGCCCGTCGAGCGGGAACATGCCGGACGACGTCACCTCGTCGATTACTTCCCCGCCCTCTTCGGGCCTAGCGCCGTCCTCTTCGTCGTCGCACGTGGGCCTGACGTCGCGACTCCTCTCCGCGGGATCCCGCCCCTGGCTTAACATGACGAGGATCTCCTCGATCTCGACCGCGCCCTCGTCGTCCATGGCCCGCTCCGTCGGCGGCACCACCTGCGCGGTCCGCGTCCTCTCCCGCGCTGACGGCTCGTTTCGCTCCAGGCGCTCGCATACCACCGACGGCACCCCGTGCGGCGGCGCCCCAGCTCTCCATCTCCGCCACGTCGATCTCGACCTCGCCGTAGAGCGGGTTGTTCTCCTTAAGCCAGACGAGCGCCCTCTCGACCGCCCGCCGCCTTACCGACAGGAGGCCCGACAGGTCGCGTGGCCCCGGCTTCTCGGCCCCCTGCCACGAGACATGGATCTCGTCCATAACCCGGACTAGCGGGTGCGGGAGCACCTGGTCACCAGCCCTGCACGTCATTCGGGAATACCGTGATATGGCCCTTGACGTGCCTCGGATACCTCACGCTCTGCCTCTGCCCGCCGGGGATGCTATACCTCGTCACGAAGCCGTAGCACGAGTTGAGCGAGATCAGCTTCTCCTCGACCGGCGTGAGGCCCTTGAGCTCGTCGGGGTACGCGTGCTCGCAGCCGAGCCGGCCGTGGAGGTGCATGCCAGGCGAAGCCTCTCACGCCCGAGGCACCGCGCGCACTCTGCGCATACCGGCACCGCCCGGCCTCGGGAAGCAGCTTCGGCACGCGAATAGAGACCGGCCGCCCTCCGTGACGGGGCTCCGCCATGGCCACCTCTCCCACGCCATTTCCCTTAGCTCCTCTCTTGACCGCTTCCGGTAACATACCTTGCAGGTCAAGACCGGTAGCGTGCCGGCGTCGTGGAACGCCCGGTAGAACCTCTGCACCGTTCGCACCTGCCTCGCGCGCGGCACCGGCATGCACCACGTCTGCTCGTCTGCGAGCCCTCGCCCGCCGCGAACTCCTCCTCGAGGTGCTGCAGTACGCTGGCTAGGTCCTCGGCCTGCAGCTCCCTCCGTCTTGGGGTTTTCTGGCCCACCCGGACCCGGGAGCATTTCCCTAAGGCCTGCCCGCCGGGGGTGCGGCCCTTCCTCTTCCGCTCTCCCCCGGGCTGCCGATTCATTGTCCTGCCTGCGCCCCGTTAGCCGTCTTCATGCGCCTTGGCCTCGCTCTGCGACCGTACCGGCTTGTTGGCTGTCCGTGCTTCCGACGCTCGGTCCCGCCTCGGTGGGGGGCGCCGCGTGGACTCCGCCCTCAGAACCGGCCGAGCCCGTATGTGCCGCGGCGCCTGCTGGCCTCTGGGCGGGCCGCCCTCGCTCGGCGGCGGTGTGAGACCGGCTGCGATCGGTGTCGGCCGGGGCTGGATACGCCGCAACGCCTGCTGCCTTGCGTCGGCTTGGAGTCTCTGCTGCCTCGGTGGTCTTCCCCGCCTGCGCTTCGCGCCCTCGTCGACACTCGGCTGCGGCGTGGTGTGGCCGTTCCACCCTATTCCCATATCCGCTTCGCCCTGCCTAGGCTGGGCGATGTCGCCGCCGTTGGCAGTCGCACCTATCGGTCTCCAAGCGTCCCCGCCCGGACCGTCCTCGACCGGCGTCTCAAGGCGCCACGCGGTCCGTGGGCTTCCTGCGCCGGGCTCGCGCCCCCTGCTCCGCGCGGTCCCCTCCAGCAGCTGACTCCATCGCGATACTGGCTGCCACTACCTTTATAAACCTCTCATCTACCTCGTGCTGCTATGCCCTGACGTGGAGCCTCGTGAGTCGGACGTCGACGTATACGTCCTTTCCTGGGCTGCTCGTCTTGCGCTTATGTTGCTACTCGGCATGCAGCTTATGCGTAACGGACACTTTACATTTACAATGACCTATGTACTCTATATAGAGCTCCGTAGTACGTCTATAAGCATGCTGCTGCTCTTCACATTATACCGGCGCCGACTTTCCATTAAGCCTACCGGGAACTGCCTGCTGCTATCGCATGCAACGGCCTAGGCCGGTCTTTACATGTAAGTCGCTACGGCACCTTCCTCTTACTCGTGCTTTACATTCTACGCTCTCCTTGTTATCTGGAGCTATGTCGCTAAGCGCCTTGGTTCGAGGTTAGATGCTTGCATACTGGCTTTTAACCCCATGTCTTAAACGTGTCGCCAATGAAGCTGCCCTATTCTGTGACAATATGGCTTCCCGTATGTCGGTTGTCTTAAAAACCCTCTATCCCTAAGCAGACCGCCTTTTGCCCTTTTCCCTCGCTTCTCATAGCATTCTCTAGACAACGCTCTTTCCATGTTCTCCTAACCGCTAAAATTTTCCCGTGTTTCCGTTAATATCTATGCTCGTGTTCTGTAAGGCGGCCCTGGCCCTTCACTTCCCGCCGGTTTCTTCCAACGATACAAAAATAGGAAGAGTTCCTGCTCCTATTCTGCCCCGCTTAAACGATTCAAAACGGCAGCGTCGCTCTTACGCTATACAACCTCGCCATGTCTTCGTCCCCGTCTTCGGCCGCCTCTCCGCCGCATCTGAAGAGGCCCTTAGTACTGGCAAGAGCGTCGACGGTGACATGTCTATGATGTTCTTCGCCCAGCCCGACTGCCCCTCGAGGTTCGCCCACTAAGACGAGCACCGCATCAAGAACCTTAACGCCGAAGGCTATCGCCCGTGTCTTCCTGCCCGTCCCCTCGTAGCTGCTCCCGGCCGAGTACGCGCCCTCCGCGCGGAGCCGGATGCCGCCGACCCGGCTGTCTCTCTTCTTTAGCCTAGGTAAACCTCTCGATTTACGGCCAGCCGGTCGTCGACCCCGACCGGTCCGAGCATCGGTTCTTCGTTAACAGCCACGTCCACTCCCATGCCCTCCCTGGGGTTCGAGTGCCGCGACGGTCTCCACGCCGGCCCGGGCGATACCGTCGTCTACAATTCCACGCTCGTCGTCCGCGACCATGGCTACCATCCATGCCCCCGCCCTGTATGCGTCTCCTCCCTGCCGCGTCGCTGACTTCTCCTTCTGGCGTCCTCCCGCGCTCCTTGGCCTCCCGACGGCCACTTCCCCTCGGCCCCTCCCGTCGTCTCCTTCCACGGCGTCGTCGCCGGCGCCGGCCTCTCCCTCTTGCGACGGGACCTCCAGCCCGGTCTCGACGCCGTCCGTCTCCGCTGCCGGCCGGGTAGTCGACCGTGTCTTCGTTCCTCAAGGCTTTTGTGCGCAACCCAGGGGGTTGCCTTACCTCGTAAATAGATTAAGATGAGATGCTGGTGGCGGCTGGTGGCTTGGATTTTACACCAATATGATTAGAACAGGCTTCTTTTGCTTTTTCCCCCTAGGTTCTCTACTAAGGAAAAGGGGCAATTGAGGAAAAGGGGCAATCAATTGCCAATCATTTTTTTGTGTCCGGCAATATAACTGGCGATAGCTGCCTGGCATAGCGTGCAACAACAAGCTTATATGTTTTTGTTCTGCAGGCGTAAGGTATGCCGTCCCCTTTGACTGCAATGTCAACGTCTCTTACAGCGTCTTCTGCCGCTACCCCGTCACCTACTCCTACATCGCCTGCCTCGACGCCATCAAGTACCCTTACCCCGTTTTCTGTCCCTGTTCAATATCCCAAACCTCCGGATGAGTTTGTGCAGGATCGCATCACGTACGTGAAACGCGAAATAATCTCAAATAAAGGATGTCGTCTAGGTTCATCACACATCTGGAAGTACGGTCTCCAGTACATTCGATGTAGTGATAAGAAGGAAGTGTACTACTGCCACGAGTGTGTAGTCGGAAAGTACAAGCAAGAATTATTTGTTATCAATGGGACCTCTAGAGTCAGGAATCATCTTGAGCAGAAGCATCAGATCGATTCCCAGACTGGCATGAGGAAAAGCTCTGCACCGAAGTCTGTGCTTGATCAACAAAAGGATGCGGCGGCTTCCAGTGCCTTCTTCTGGAAGGACTCGGTTGAGAAGTTCAAAGAGCTGCTAATCCGTTGGATTGTATGCTGCCACATCGCTTTCTTTCAATTGGAGAATCGGCATTTTCGTGAACTTCTCTTCTTTCTGAGCCCAACGCTGATGAACCACCTACCAAAGGCAGCGCGAACTATTCGGAGTTGGATAATGACTGCCTTTACATCAAAGAAGCAACAACTCATGGAGGATCTCCATCAAGCGCGGAGCAGAGTCTCAATATCCTTTGATCTCTGGACTTCGCCAAACCCTTACGCTATCCTAGGCGTCGTCGCCATGTGGATTGACGCCACTGGCAAGCGGAGATCTACCGTTTTAGGCATGCGACGTGTCTACGGCGAACACACTGGCGAGAATGTCGGATCAATTGTTATTGAGTTACTAAAAGAATACAACATCGGCGGCGACTTGATTGGATACTTCATGCTAGATAACGCCTCGTCAAATGACACCGCTGTTGAGCTAATACTCAAGGAGCTCTGCCCGTGGATGAGTTCGAAACAGCGTCGCCATCGCCGGCTACGCTGCCTAGGCCACATCATCAACCTCTGTTGTCAGGCGTTCCTCATGGGCCGGAACTGTGATAAATATCTCGCGAAGCTTGAAAAGCATCATTTACGAGGAGACTACGCAAAGGTAGAGGAGCTGTGGAGGAAATTTGGATGCTTGGGTCGACTTCACAACCTAGTGCGGTACATCAGGCTCACCCCACAGCGTCGCGAGGAGTTTGCTGCAATCGTGGTTGGGGGTGACCTCTCTGCATTTGATGGGCTCGAATTGATCCAGAATAACTCGACGCGCTGGAATTCCTGGTTTCATTCCATTACACGTGCATTGAATGTTCGAGAACGTCTGGAGCTCTTCTCAGCTCGCCATGTACCTGCAAAAGGTTCTCATGGAATTGCGAACTTCAAGTTGGATGGACAGCACTGGTTTGAGCTCGAAAAGATTGAGCTGGCTCTGAAAGACTTCTACGCCGCAACATTGCTCACTGAAGGGAAGAAAACATCGCTTGCTGACTGGTTTTCAACCTTGGATTGCCTTCTTCGAGAAATAAACGAGACGAAGGATCACTACCTTGACATCCACATCGAGGATGACAACAATTTCACATGGGAGTACCTTCAAAGCTGTGCGGATGCGGCCTGGTCAAAATGCGCCGAATATTACAACAATCAGCAATTGAACTGGCGAAATCGATTCCCCGAAGATACCGACCTTCCGCCTGCATACTTTGCAGCTCAAGTCCTTGACCCATACAGAAAGTGGGCATGGTTCAGACAAGAATGGGTTCTTCCAGGCGATGAGGAGAAGAAGAAGTGGTTCGATAGCGCGCAGTTGGCCGTGAAAGAGCTCTGGAAAATGGAGTATAAGGGAAAATATCCCGTTGAGATGGTTCCCTCTCCGAAACCCACGGAGAGAGATCCGGATCCCGCGTTTGATCGTCAGCGGGAACATAAGCGCATCCGCCTTGACGGTCCGGTCTCTGCAACTGATCTGTATGAGCAATACATTGCTACCGACCGACTCCATGACGATGAGGCAGGTTGTGACGAGGCCATTGCGTACTGGCTGTCCCGCTATGACTCCCAGAGAGACCTCGCTCGCTTCGCACTGGACCTTTTTGCCATCTCACCTATGTCGGATGAGTGCGAACGCCTGTTCAGTAGCGCCAAGCTTACTGTGGTTGACCGCCGGGGCAGGCTGAAGGCCGATATTATCGAGGCATGCGAGTGTCTCCGGGCCTGGTACGGACAGGAAAATGTAGAAGATGACAGTGACGGTGATGATTAAGTATAGGCAATAGAGACACTTTTGAGTACGATCGGTGGTTAGCTATAGGTTATCGCATCTCCTGTTTGCCTTACATCAGCTTCATTCTTGGCGGTCTTGTTGGTCGGACCGGTCCGACCAACCGGTCCGACCAAAGTGGCTTGGTCTGGTCTGGTCTGACCCCCCAGACCAGACCAGACCAGACCAGACCATTCCGATCACTGCCCTTCATTCCTCCCTTCCTTCCTTCTTCTCCTCCTTCCCCTCATTCTTCTTCATCTTTTTCTCTTCTCTTCATAGATTACCAATACAACAGTCACAGGCATAGCTCTTTAGCACCTTTGATTCGTATTCTCTATCACCCCTGTGCACAGCACGAATACCCACGACCCAACAGCTACCTTCCTGCCCACTACTCCCATGGCCTCAAGCTGTTGGATAATGGTGTTTTCAATGCCTCAAAGGCGGCCTATCGAAAAGAACTTCAGAAATTGACCTGTCTTACTGGTTCTGCGCCTGTTGATAAGGTCAATTTTATACGAGCATATGCCAAAGCACGCGAGGTTGGCATGACTGCAAAGAACATACTGTCCGGCTGGAGGGTCACTGGAAATTGGTCAATACCACGATCCAAGGCATGGCGACATCCAGAAATCCACGCAACCACGGGTCAGACATCTCCAAAGTCTGCGCCATTTTTGCATTCTGACGATACACCAAGAACCAGCCGCCAGATTCGCGACATTGGCAAGAACAAGACTCCCAGCGCTCGGGGGCGTCTTGCCGTGATAGCTAAAGGGCTTTGAAGCGCAAGAACAGGCGCTTGCTGAACACAGCAACAAAATTGCGAAGCTGGAGGCAGAAGTGGCTCGGTTGCAGAGAGGCAAAAAGAGGAGGGCCATTCCGAACCCGAACAGGCGGTTTATGGCTCTTAGTGAAGTTTTGGCGGCTAAGGAAGCTATTCCCCAAGTTAGAGGCCAAGAAATTGTCGTTGTGCTGAATTCTGAGACCGAGGAGGACGAGGTCTCCGAGATGGAGACAGCGTCAGTGATCGATGTCAAGGTGGCACATGAGGCCTATTCTGTCACCACAAGGTCTGAAAGAATTATAAAAAAGCGCCGGAATATGTAGGAATGGCCATTCCTCCACAGAATTATATAATTTCTATATTTTTATTCTTAGGTTCTGGTCACATTTCATGTAGTTCAAATGGTAGACTTTTGGTGGGGATTTTTTTATTTGCGCTACCCAAAGGGGGGTGTTACCCAAAGGGGGGTGGGGTATGGGTATTGCTTGCGACACCGCCGACTGCCTGACAACTCTCTGTCAAGGGAAAAGCTATGTCGATTCCACTTCCCTCGCGTCTCTCATGCCGAGGCCCACGTCACACATGGCCTTAACCCGACATTCCTTGTGTATGATGGCGCACGCAACAATCCTCTGTGTCGCAATGCCGCTGCACCAGGCAAAAGTGGAATGCACACTCCAACAGGTGCACTGATGCATTGGCTGATATGTCGTCTGTGTCGCTGTTCCGGTTGCAACACACTGCTTTAACAACTACAATCCAGCAGACGCGTCTCGCAGGGCGGCGGATGCTACCCTGAACCACCGCCATTTTGAACTGTTTTCAACCGGTTGTCAAACATTGAAACCATCGAGGTGGAACGATTTCGAGACCCCCCTAAGCCGTAGTCACGATAAGCCACGATTCCTGTTGATCAGGGTCGTGTGTCGAATCCGAGGACAAAAGACTGTTCTAGATTTCTGTTAAAGTCACCAAAAATGTGGAGACCGCCCGCGCCAGCTCCAATTTTTTTTTGGCTCCTCAGCTTCCATTAGTTTTTCCTTTTCTCATACCGCGTCTACAATCGTTACACGACCGGGTGCGACAACGCGAGAATCCTGGATCCATCCCAACGCCTCGTTATTGCCACTCGGCCGCTCGCTCGCTCGCACCGCAGATAAGCTTCGCTCTCCTCCATCGACCCTCGGGCTTCTTATTCTTCTTCTATCCCTCTTCTCCTCTCTCCCTCTTCTCTTCTTTGAAGTTCTTTGTTCGACCAGCGTCTCCTCGCATGCCCTCGTCTTCCTTTTCCTGCAGGCTGTCCATAGAATAATCAGACACACACGCCCACCAAAAAAAACCCACACTTCAACCAGAAACAGGAGGCCATCTTACTCATACCTGCTCTCGCTCCATCCGTCTCTCTTTCTTTTACCTCTCTCTCCCTCCCCCTCTGTCTTTCTTTCTCGCTTTCTCAAAGAGAAGACCACCTATGACGGGGTCCAAGTCGTTGGCGCACACCAGCGCGACGCTCCAGCTTTGGAGACGCCTGCGGGACCTCAGGCAAAAGACCACATCCGTGGTCCTCGACGGCAACAACCTCGACATTGCCTCCGTCGTGGCCGTCGCTCGCCACGGCGTCAAGCCCGTCATCAGCGATGATCCAGAGCTCGCCAATCGCATCAACCTCAGCGTCGACGCCCTAGCCGCCTACCTCGCCCGCGACTGGGTCGTCTATGGCGTCAACACCGGCTTCGGCGGCAGCGCAGATACTAGGACCAATGGCCTCCTCGACCTGCAAATCCACCTTCTGCAGCACACCCAAAGCGCCATCGTCACCTCACTCGACAAGGATCCCACCGCCAATTCGGAGAGGGACTCCTCCCACGTCATGTCCCCTGCCTGGGTCCGCGGGGCCATCGTCGCCCGCGCCAACCAGAACCTGCGAGGCCATAGCGCCGTCCGCCTCTCCGTCCTCCGCAGCCTAGTCGACCTGCTGCACCACGACCTGACACCCCTCGTTCCCTTGCGGGGCACCATCTCCGCCTCGGGGGATCTCATGCCCATGTCGTACATTGCCGGCGCCGTCACCGGCAACCCGGACATCTTCGTCCAGGTCGGCAAGGGCCCCAGGGTTCGCGTCATACCCTCGTCCGAGGCCCTGCGCCTCTGCGGCCTCGCTCCCTCGGGCATGGGCCCCAAGGAGGCCCTCGGCCTCATCAACGGGACCGCTCCCTCCGTCGCCGTCGCCAGCCTCGTCCTGCATGACGCCCAGCAGCTCGCCCTCTTGGCCCAGATGCTGACGGCCTTGACCGCCGAGGCTCTGGGTGGCAACGTCGAGTGGGCTCTGCCATTCATCCATGCCGCACGTCCGCATGCGGGCCAGGTAGAGGCTGCCGGCAACATCCGCCGATTCCTCAAGGGCTCCCAACTCGTCGTCGGCCTCGAGTCGAGGAAGAGAATGGGCGACGGCCTTTGGCAGGATAGATACTCGACGCGAACCGCCCCTCAGTGGATCGGCCCTTACCTCGAGGACTTGCTCCTGGCCCAGCGTCAGCTCGAGGTTGAACTCAACTCCACTTCGGACAATCCTCTGGTCGAAGTGTCTCCAGAACCGTACCACCACCAGAATGGAGCCTCCAGTGGAGAGTCCAACGGAGAGTCAATTAGAGTCAAGAATGGAATTTCCAAAGCAGCCTCGAACGGAGAGTTCAATGGAGTCGATAATGGAGCCCTTGACGGAGCGTCGAATGGAGTCGAAGCTGGAGCCCTCAATGAAGCGTCGAATGGAGTCCATGGTGAGGCCCTCAGCGCAAAGTCCAATGGAGTCCTTGATGAAGCCCTCAACAGAGTGTCGAATGGGGTCTCCAACGGAGTTTCAAACGGAGTCGAGAATGGTGCCATCAACAGATTCAAGGATGGTGCAGGCAATGGAGCCTCCAACGGAGTCTCAAACAGAGTGTCGAATGGCGTTGAAGACAAAGTGCAGAATGGAACAGCGCCCGCTGGGCCCGGCGAGGTCTACTCCGGAGGCAACTTCCAGGCCACTGTCGTCACCTCGGCCATGGACAAGACCCGCCTAGCCCTGCAGATGATCGGTCGCTTGTTATTCTCCCAGGTGACCGAGATAATCAACCCGTCCACCAACAACGGACTCGAGGCCAACCTCAACGCCAGTGAGCACGAAAACTTCACCATGAAGGGCATCGACGTCAACATGTCGGCGTACATGTCCGAGCTCGCCGCCCTTGCCCATCCCGTTTCCTCGCACGTCATGTCGGCCGAGATGCACAACCAGGGCATCAACTCGCTCGCCCTGCTGTCTGCGAGGCGCACCGCCGAGGCTGCCGATCTGGTCGCCCAGATGTGCGCCTGTCACCTGTACGTCTCGTGCCAGGCCGTCGAAATTCGCGCCAACCATGTCCGCTTCCTGGACCTTGTACGCGACACAGTGCTGAGGGACCCGACGCATAATGGAGCCCTGTACGGCCTCAGCCTCAAGGGCCCGGACGTCGAGAGACTCGCCGACAGGTTGGTCCCCGTCGTCGAGGCGACCTGGAAACACTGGAACGCCAACACCTGGAAGCACCGCGTGGCCCCTGTCACCGAGGCCATTGTGTCTCCCGTCGCCGACTTTCTGGTCGCCGAGGGCCGCGACTGTTCCCTCGCCCAGCTGACCGCCTTCAAGAAGCACTTTGGCAACACCCTGTCCGAAACCGCGGCTTCCATCTTCTACCCGGGCATGATGCCGCCGGCTGCGGTGGCCGCACAGCTCGGCGACGGTAGCGCGCAGCTGTATACGTGGATACGGTCGAGGCTCGGCGTGCCGCTGCACCGCGGCATTGACGACGATCCGCTGTACAATGCACGCAGGGGCCTGCCGACCGAGGGCAAGAAAACCATCGGTAGCTGGGTGACGACCGTGTATGAGAGTATCCTCAAGGGCGGGCTGATGGACATGGTCATGGACGGCGTCGACTCGTCGCGGGAGGCGCCGCGGACTGCCGAGGCGTACGAGAAACTCTGTAGAGACATGGAGGAAATGTACTAACCGGCTCTAACGGAGCTCTTGCGAGTCAAGAAGTGGCAAGAGAAGCGCACGCAGGGTGAACCAGAAGGACAAGTGTCGCACTCAGACCCAATTCTCTACTCTACCATGTCCCCTAATGGCACTCCTTTCCTTTGGACTCAACATTCCTTTTTCTCGGGCTTGACTAGACAGCCTACGTGTCTGACTGCGCGGCCTACCAAAAATACGTACTTGTGGCAAATAGCGCCACAGAATTGGGGGGTACTCGGGAGCCAATACGGATAGAGGCGCGGACCCCGCGCCTGATATGTACCATCCTACCCCCACCTTTGGCTCACCCCCCCCTTAGGCTCAGCAAAAATGGCGCCGCCCCATACAAAATTGGCCAACTTCACTTACTCGGGGGGTTGACTAAGGGACTTAGGCCCCCCCTCTCCTGCCGGAGAAGGGGGGCACACAACCTGTTTTTTGCACGCTCGTGTTTGCCGCTTTCAACACTTCAATTAGCTATTGAGACTTCAATTGATATTATTAAAATACTGAAAAATTCTATAGCAGGCAAAAGGTTCGATATAATTCATATACTAAATCTCATACGAATTGGTCCAATGGTTAGCGCTGCACTATATACCTAAAGATCTTGGTCTAATGCTCGCGAGTCTACTTCGTACCGTAGATTTAGTGGGTTATAGTATGCGTTCCCTTAACCGCGCCTTTAATTAAGCGCCACGCAGCCAATTAACAGTCTTTGTGTGGGAATGGTACTCATCCTTTGTATGCATCCGTCTCTGATCACATGATCGGCACATGACCCTTATGGTCGGTCACGTGTACGGCTGAGGACAGCGTGCCCCCTTTTCTCCACGCTGGCCTCGCCTCCCTAGATAGAGAATCAATCCTCATAGCATAACACGACACACCGGTATACCCTGTTTGTTACGTGCACGAGACCTACCAACACTGATCAGTGATTGACTTGGTCAATCACAGAACAGCAAGGAAGAAGAGACAGATCGTAGCCCTCGAAGGTGCATTGGACCCGTGTCTTCAGTGACGCCGCATCCATACACTCAGAGAGAGCTATCTGTGCTAAGAACAAGGATATCTCCTCCTGCCTGACTTGCGGAGAGACCCTTTCAAGCTATTAATCGGCTGCCTGACACCGATTGATAGTGCGACCACATCGCCTAGCGACTTCTATTATCGGCTGCAAGGCATCGATCAATAGTTGTTACTAGTATCCGACTCCTAACGACTTCCTATTATCGGCTGCAAGGCATCGATCAATAGGTGTTATTAGGACCCGACAAAGACGTATTTCGACAGCCAGATACGACTCCATCGTCTCATTCACTTGATCAACGATGACCCCGACCGACCGAGCTACGACTCCGAACGAGAGCGCCCAGCTCGAACAATTGAGCGAACGGATGCAGGGACTAGCTATTCAGACATCCGTATACGATAAAGTTGATGTTACCCTTTGGGGGCAAGACATCAAACCTGACGAGGAAGATGAGATCGCAGTTACGACGTACGCCGCTAGGTTCATGTCCAATGCCCAATTCGAACGCCTAGAAGGAGACAACATCCTTGACCACTTCCAACAACACTTCGAAGGCTGGAACCAAGACACATGGAACCGGGTACATATGGACTACAAGAGAGCCCTCAGATTACTTCTAAGGAGACGTGGCATCTATACAGGACGGGAAAATGGCCCTTTTGCACCCCAGTTCATCATGTTGCAAACTGTGGAGGACCGACCTGCATGGCCAGAACGAGAGTACATGGAGACCGATTTCGACATTGGGACAACCGCTCATAAGTTACGAGCAGCAGGATCAAAGGCTCTAACTTCTCCCCGAGAACCCCAGTCGCCATCGGTAGCAACATCTCGTTACGATCTTAACAAACAACCCCCCATTAAGACCTTAACGAAGCCACCTGCCCAGAAGCCCACCGCTGAGGCACTACCGACAACATCACCTCCTACGACTTCCGCGCTGACCACCCAAGATGCACCTAACCTAACCTCTCTTACAGCCCATCCGACAACCCACCGCTTCAAGCACCCCGAACTCGTCCAATCCGCCCACAACCCCCCACCCGACCCTCCATCCGAGCCTATGCACCCTGAAGCATATACAAAACTTCCCCCGGATGATACCCCGAATGCCCCTGTTGATGCAGATACCCAATATATGTTCATGAAGTGTCACGGCGAGCGAAAGGAGACTGCAGACAAAGCTAGCAAGATACTCTGTAACGAAAGAATACTAAGATGAAGAGGAAAGAAAACCACATAACTCCTAACGCCGTGACCTCCTCATATCCTCCCTGTCGCTTCGGACCTGGATGACGGGGCTGCCCGTACCTACCGTCGGAGCTGCCCGTGCCCGTGCCCGCCCGCGGGTTCCGTAGTAGTCCCCAGGTGTGTCACGGTAACCCAGGGGTCCCAGGTAGGGCCCTGACACTACCCCCTCCTTCCGGAGAGCTCGCCCCGAGCTCTGACCAATGCCGTAATGCCAATACCCAGAGACATACCTACTTCGTTACCCGCCGTCGCCTCATTTTTGTGTTGTCTTGCCGTTGAGTCGGGAGGTCGTCATCTGGTGTATCTAGGGCGATTTGGTCCGTCGCCGCTGCTTGGATCCATGCAGCTAAGCGGCCCGGAGGGCCAGGCTTATCGGGGTGGGCGTTGTGGAAGTGTTGTAGGCTAGCGGAGCGTTTTTGAAGTTACTCGCTAGATACCAATCTGGGTCCGGGTCCCAACCCTTCCAACTAACCTGGTATTGCAGCTTTCCCCAGGCAATCCTGGATGCAAGGACTTGGTCGATCTCCCACTCGGATTCCCCCTGTATGACTACCGGCGGGGGCGGTTCGTAGGTCTGTCCTGGTACCGGATCCGAGGGCGCTTTAAGTAGTCGGCTAGCGTTAATAACCCGGTGCATTTTCATCGTTGGTGGTAGGTCCAATTCGAAAGCGTTTGGCCCCTTAGCCGATAAGACCCGAAACGGGCCTAGGTAGGGTTGATCCAAGCCGTCACTCGGGCGTCCCGTTGACCAGTGTCCCTTTTTCAGGTATACCAGGTCGCCTACCTCCCAGTCGACCTCCCTACGGCGTTTATCCGCCTGCCGCTTGTATTCCGCCTGCTTGGTGAGTAGGGTTTCTCGCCCACCGGACCCCTCGGCGGCCCGGGAGGCGAACTGCTGCGCCGCTGTTCGCCCTAGCTGCTCTCTGGGGGGGGCCGTCGCTGTGGGTGGCGCCACGGACCAGTCGAACGACATCCGGGGTAAGTATCCCATCTCAAGCTCCGCAGGTGCTAGACCGATGCTCTCGTGTGGGTGGGTTGAGTGTGCGAAATCCAAGCAGGGGAGCATTTCGGACCAGTTATCCTGGTAGTAGTCTAGATAGGGACGGAGCTTTGTCTGTAGGAACTGGTTTATTATCTCGGTCTGACCGTCCGTCTGAGGATGTTCGGCCGTAGATAGCTTCATCTTCGTCAGTGTTGCTAATAATATAAACAATACGTATATTGGCAATATGGACCCCTCGCAATATTATTGTATTGTCAAGAGGTGCGTATTGTATTGCGCAATATGGCATTGGTCCATATTGTATTGTATTGCCAGTGACCCAATATATTGCCAGTAAAACAATATATCCCGTATATCCCACGTGACCCTCATTATTCAACCGTCGTTGCTGAAATATCGTCACCCTGAAAATCCTGTATCCCAAACCATGACTTCAAGCACTCCAATGCCTGAATTACATCACTCCCAAGTCGATTTCGACGGTCTGTGATGGTTATTTTTGCCCCAGAGAAGAGTCTTTCGGGCTCAGCAGACATTGCGGAATTGACAGTATATCCACCGCCATTTTGCTCTGGTATGGGTAGTTCTTTTGCTGTGTTTCCTCCAGCCACCATGCGAGGCGCTTGTGAACCCATAAACCCGTTCAGACTTACAACATCGCTCGTACTCGTCTGTGATAAGTGCTGGTTGTAGGTGCTTGTTTCTCCAATTCAAGAACTCGTTCGTGGTCGTCAACGGAACCTCAGATAGAGAAGGCGGCTCCACAGGTTTATAATCATCCCACAGTGTCTCCATCAGCTTCTTTGACGAGTCAGCCCACTCCTTCTTCCAGTTTTCGTGTATGTAGTGCCATTTATGCGAAGGTGAAGCACAATCGCAGCGACGTAGGCAGGCGATTCGTCAGTAAGACAATAGTACTTATCCATCTTCGCCCAGCCCGAGTTATACATTGGTGCCATAATCGGATCGTCGATATGTGCCTCTTTTCCTGCTTCGAATTGCGCCAATACGAAGTCCATAGCCAAGAGAACATTGTCAAGAGTTGCAAACGATGACTCAAGGGCCTTTGTCGTCATTTAGAACTTTTGGCGACGCTGAACACTACTTTGGACGAAAACCACGAAGTTGTGGAGCTTGCCAAGGGGACCCTTTTCCGCCACGCCTCGATCTCTTTTAGTGTCACATTATGCCCATCACGTTCGTCGTCTTTGAGCTTCTCATTATCGGTAACGAAGAGGAAAGCTTTGGCGGCAAGGTTGATAATGTGACCTTGGCAGCGGAGTCGGTGAGATTTGGGATCGTATCGAATGTCATATCGACGTAGAAGGCCTGTAAATGTTAGGGCCAGTCAGAAAAACAGTGCGCCGTACTTACCAAGGAAAGAGATCTCATCATTGTATCGTTATTGCCTGCATTGTCCATCACAAAATATCCAAGGTTGGAAGCAAACCCCAGTCATCAACCACTTCCAAAATTGCCCTTGCCAGGTGATATCCGTCGTGCTCACTGTCGATGTCTTTCAAAGCCAAGACATGGTGTTCCAACTGACTGTCTTCTGCAACGTAATGAGCAACTACGCCTAAGATGGCCAAAGAGTTGGGGGAAGTCCATAGGTCGCAGCTGATATGAATTTTTGACTTTGCTGACTGGATGCGCTGCTTGACCTTCTCCTTCTGACCTTCGTACTGCCGCATAATCCATTTCTTGATGGTCTCGTGTGTATCTGGAAGCCAAGTATCGATATCGGCGTTGAGGTAGGCTAAGAATGCTCGGAATTCTGGGCATTCCACAAGCCTAAATGGGAGAGAACAGGACGTAATAAACCTTACGTATAAAGCTTCGAGCTGGTCTGGGTCGATCGAGTCTCCGGATTGATCGTTGAGCCGACGGCGTTTTCGGGGATGTTCTTTGGCCGTAACACGAGCTATCTCGAGAATAGTTCGTATATTCGTGACTTTGGCTGTTCGTGGCGCGCCTTTTGGGAGGCCTGTGACGGTACAAGTGCACGAACAAGGTCGAGTGCGACTTGGATGAAGTGATTGTTGACAAAGAGAGAAAGAGGTTCCTAAGGAAGACTCTGACCCAAGCTATTTATATGAATAAAGTGGGGCCATTCACAAAGTATGAAAGTCACATGATCGTTCCCTCACATATGGGCCTCCCTTACTCCATCGCTTCTGGATTCTTCCACGTCTTGCTGAGTTTGGAGGCGAGCACTTTACACTTGTTGCGTCGTACGTCTGGGCTTGTTCTGGCAACGCCTCTCGAACTTTTTGATGGCTATGTGAGCGTTGACGACGTTGTGTAGCGGTTCCCATGTTGCAAAAGGAATGAGTTGGCACTTTCGGTTTGACTGTTAGATACTGAATGGTAGGCTGTAGAAAGGCTAATATTGGTTGGTGATGGTGAAATGGTCGATCGTCCGGGTTGGTGCAGAAGGCTGGTCGATCGATTGCTGTTGAGATTAATAGTCACGTCTGGGACAGTGATCCATCAAGAAAGGGTAACCACCCGGGTTGAAGTCGGACGACTGGTTGGCGGATTGAACGAATCGTCACTCTTCAGGGTTGGTGCAGAGGATCAATTGAATGACTCCACGAGTACTGAGATCAATAGTCACGTCGGGGACAGTGATCTATCGAAGAGAGATAACCAACCGCCCGGGTTGATGCCAGACGGCGGGATGATTGATTGGTATTGAGATTAATAGATCACGTCGGCAGTGATCCATCAAAAAAGGGGTAACCGCCCGGGTTGAAGCCGGACGACTGGTTGGTTGATTGGTATAGAGATCAATGGTCACGTTGACAGTGATCCATCAAAAGGAGTAACCGCCCGGGTTGATGCCGGACGGCTGGTCGCTGGATGGTTGATTGGCATTGAGATCAATGGTCACGTCGACAGTGATCGATCAAGAGAAATCGCCGAGGTTGGTGTTGGAAGGCTGGTCGGTTAATTGAGCGAATCGTCCGAGTTCCGGGTTGGTGCAGAGGATCAATTGAATGACTCCACGAGTACTGAGATCAATAGTCACGTCGAGGACAGTGATCTATCGAAGAGAGATAACCAACAGCCCGGGTTGATGCCGGACGGTTGGGTGGTTGGTTGGCATTGAGATCAATGGTCACGTCGACAGTGATCCATCAAAAGGTGGTAACCGCCCGGGTTGAAGCCGGACAGCTGGATGTTTGATTGGTATTGAGATTAATAGATCACGTCGGCAGTGATCCATCAAAAAGGGGTAACCGCTCGGCCGGGTTGGAGCCGGTCGACTGGTTCGTTGATTGGTATTGGGATTAATAGATCACGTCGGCAGTGATCCATCAAAAAGGGGTAACCGCCCGGCCGGGTTGGAGCCGGTCGACTGGTTCGTTGATTGGTATTGAGATTAATAGATCACGTCGGCAGTGATCCATCAAAACGGGGTAACCGCTCGGCCGGGTTGGAGCCGGTCGACTGGTTCGTTGATTGGTATTGGGATTAATAGATCACGTCGGCAGTGATCCATCGGGTAACCGCCCGGCCGGGTTGGAGCCGGTCGACTGGTTCGTTGATTGGTATTGAGATTAATAGATCACGTCGGCAGTGATCCATCAAAACGGGGTAACCGCTCGGCCGGGTTGATGCCGGACGGTTGGGTGGTTGATTGGCATTGAGATCAATGGTCACGTCGGCAGTGATCCATCAAAAAGGTGGCAACCGCCCGGATTGATGCCGGACAGCTGGGTGGTTGACTGGTGTCGAAATCAATGGTCATGTCGACAGTGATCGATCAAAATTAATCGCCGAGGTTGGTGTCGGAAGGCTGGTCCGTTAATTGAGCGAATCGTCCGAGTTCCGGGTCGGTGCAGAGGATCAATTGAATGACTCCGCGGGTGCTGAGATCAATAGTCACGTCGCGGACGGTGATCTATCGAAGAGGGTAATTGGTCAACAATATGTGACGGTACAAGTGCACGAACAAGGTCGAGTGCGACTTGGATGAAGTGATTGTTGACAAAGAGAGCAAGAGGTTCCTAAGGAAGACTCTGACCCAAGCTATTTATATGAATAAAGTGGGGCCATTCACAAAGTATGAAAGTCACATGATCGTTCCCTCACAAGGCCGTGACCGTCAGGAGGAGGATCCGTAAGGTGCTTGGCTGGGGCCGCAGTTCCACCGGAACAGCAATACGTTTTGTCACAGTGTTTGCAACGCCATTCTTCTTTTCCGGTCCGCTGATTGTAGTATTTCGTCTCTATGTCCTCGTCTGGCATATGAGAAAAGACCCATGATGTTCTTGGCTTGGCCGAAGGGTTTATGGAGGCCGTGCGAGGTTGCGACGATTGGCATTCAGTGGTTTGGGTCTCATCTGGATCATGCAACCGTGGGCTGGAAATCTCCGAGTATTCGTCTGATATTGACGAATCCCGTCGCGGCGATGTTTGAACAAAAGGCAGGCATTGTTGAGGCATCGAGATTGCTTGTAAGTCCTGGGGTGGGAAAGCGGGGTTGATGAGGAAAACAGTGTTTGGACGGCGAGCCGCTACCCTGTAGGTCTGGATTTATACATACATTTACGCGTTTCCGTGCGCCAATAGGAAACTTTTACGTCCTGGAGGTCCGCCAGACGAAAAACAATACATAGAACATGCTTATATTTACGCGTGTTTCTTGACGCGTCATCATATTGGCGCGAATTGGGGAACGGAAAGGCGAATGACCACCAACCAATACAAACAATACAAGCCATATATTGCCAGTATGGAAGGCGCTATATTGTATCGTCACAATATGACGGCGAGCATATTGTATTGGTACAATATGAGAAATCGCGTATTGTATTGTATATACTGCAGTATACTACTTTATTGTCATATTATTAGCAACACTGCGTAGATCTTGCCACTGATTTCATCTTCTTGCTATACGTCATGACGGCGCCTCCGTAGACCATAAAGACGAACCCCAGGATACTCTTCCGGTCCCTTGGATCAGTAGCGTAGTCGGTGTCAGAGAACGCTTCCCCATCTTGTAGGCCTGCAGAGCCGACGTGCCCTTCGATGTTGTGGTCAATGGAATAATAGTCGATATCGCTGCCTTCGACTCCTTGTGCGTGCTCATTATTTCCGCCATATGTGATACCGTGGTGAATAGTCCTGCTGACATAACCCAATATTCGTAGCAAAGCCTTCCAGTGGTTCCAGCATGCCTCTACCGTGAAAGATGCCATTCTGTTAACTGCGAATATAATGTCGAACCTCGTATTGCATAGCCAAATCAGCTTTCGAGCAATTCCACGTATTTCAACCATTCGTCATGGTTCAGAGGTCGTCCCGGTTCCTCAACGAGCTTCCGTATAGCTCCAGGTTCCATGGGGTTGCGTGCTTCATTGAGTCGTCGTAGAAATTCTGCCACGGTTTCCTTCGCAAATTGTGATTGATCAATCATCAGCTTTCCATTGTGCCTTTGAATCCGAATTCCGAGAATGTTCTCTGCTTCTCCGAGGTCTTTCATCTCAAATCTTCCTTCAGCTTTTCCTTGACCCGTTCAATGGCAACCTCGTCCCCTGTAATCATAAAGTCATCCACGTGCACGCCGATGATTACCCCCGACTCTGTATGTCTGAATATTGTCGGATCCACTGTCATCGGTGAGAAACCAATCTCCTTGAGATATTCTGATATTAGCAAATACCACATCCTTGCTGCTTGCTTCAATCCGTACAAACTCTTCAGGATCTGAACGTATTTCCCGAAATATTGCTGGAGCTCAGTTGGCACTTTCATGAAGATCCTTTCCTTTAGGTCTGCTGCAAGGAACGCAGCCACAGCATCCATCTGGTATACCTTCCAGCCTTTCTTCGCCGCTAAAGCTAGAATGATCCTCATCGCATCGAGCCGGATCGTGGGTGCGAAGGTTTCCTCGTAATTGATCCCGTGTTTCTGTGTGAACCTCTCGCGACTAGACGTGCTTTATACCGTAGTATCTTCCTTCTTTGTCTTTCTTGTGATCAAACACAAGCTTGGCATCAACTACTTCTTCTCCGTGCACGTCAACTTCGTTGATTTCCTCCGAGAATGTCTGTCGTCGAATGAGATTCTGAACTTCCTCATCTATAGCTCCTACCCATTGATCCTTCTCACTGCCTTTCATCGCCTGTCGGAAGGTAAGCTTTTTCGGGTCGAAGTCGTACAGGTCTGTATTAGGCTGGAGAAGCGTCCTTGCTACCATGGCTCTTTCCTTCCTGCCACTCTCCCCTCGCTTCTTCAGACGTTCTGCCATGCGCTGTTCTTCTCTTTGCCGCCATTCCAGCTCTGCTCGCTGCTTCTCTGCTCTTTTGAGTGCCACGGCCTCTCGTCGAATCTGGGATCTTGTTTTCGGCAGACTCCTTTCAGGAGAGGTTATATCCGCCTCCCCTGTATTGACAATGATTGTGTCTCCTTGGAGCTCTTCCTCCGAATCTGCAGTGTCTTGGTCGGTCGGGTTCCCATCCGCTGCTTCTCCGGCATCCTCCCCAGCTTCTGTAGCTTCCTGGTCCGTAGTCCTATCCCCGACCGAATCTTCGGCATCAGAGTCATCATCAGTGAGCTCCCCTTGCTCCTTTTTCTCTTCCTTCTCATCGTCATACTGCGATTGTGATTCTTGGCTGATTTCATTGTCCATATACTTGCTCTCATCGAATTCCACGAATCGAACCTCGTGGACCTTCTTATCAGCTGGGTTCCAGACTAGATAGATTTTATCTGTCTCCTCTTTGTATCCAACAAAAACTCCTTGCCATGCTCTTTTCAGAAGCTTTGTTCTCTTTCTTTGGGAATAAATACCCAGGCAGGACATCCGAACACTCTCAAGTGCCCTGATCTTGGCTCTCCACGCCATAACTCCCATGGGCTTTAGCCATTCCCTTGACAACTCCCTATTTCTCAGATAGGCCGCTGTTGCATTCGAAAACTCCCAGTATGCTGCCGGGAGGTCCATTTCGTGACGCATAGCAGACCCCTCTCTGATATGGTTCTCATGCTCCTCTCAGAGATACTATTCTCCGGGTGGTAGCCCACTGTTGGTTCGATCCGAATAGTTCTTCCGTGCAAAATACCTTCATTGCCTCGTTTAGAAATTCCTTTCCGCGATCAAAGCGCATCGCCTTGACCTTTTCGCCTTTTCCGTACTCGCGACACTCTGCCTCTGCAACAACTACCCAGGCTTTGATCTTGTCGGTAATTCTCGTTTTGTCTCTAGAGAAATAAACCCAAACTCGCCCGGTAGCCTGATCGGTGATTGTCAGCATGTACTTCATTCCTTGAAGTGATAGCTCAACTGGCCCCCAAAGATCTATATGGACTCTCTCTAGCTTTTCTGTCACCGCAGACATTGGCTCCCTTGAGACCTTTCTTGTCATTTTGGCCTCGGTGCAGCTTGAGCAGAATGACGGGCAGAATGAGCTGTCTCCGAGATCATCCATTATGGCGTTCAGTTTGCCCTCCATATGCTTTCCAGGGTGTCCCAGCCTAGCATGTAGTAGTCTTTCAGGCATCTTCAGGATTGACTTCAGCGCTACCCCGTTATCGCCATCCTTTTCTTGGATTGTATGGGCTCGGTGCCCTCTTGTCTGGCTCAAGCGCCACACCTTTTATGTCTGTGGCCAAACAGCACCTCCTCCTGATTTCTTGTCACCGTGACTGTCTTCCCGGAGAGTCCACGACAATACATGCTCCCCTGTCTTCCAGTTCACCGACTGATAGCAGGCTGCTCGTCGCCTCCGCGATGTAGTGCACCCCACGTACTATTGTCGACCTTGCTCTTCCTTTCTGTGAGACGTAAAGATCCTCACATCTCCTTTCCCTCTTGAACGAACCTCGGAGCCGTCTGCAATCTCAACACTTGTCTTTGTAGGGACAACTTTGAGATAAATTGGTCTTCCCTTGGGGTGATATGGACGGAAGCACAGCTGTCGAGATACCATTGTGGAGGGCTGTTACTTTTGTGTTCGGAAGCAAGTAGGTAGATCTCTCAGATTCACTACCACTGTCTTCAAGGATCCTGACCGCGTTTGCCTTTTCTTTGCTATCCATGGCCTCTCGCCTTCGCTTTTTCAGAGGCTAGCCAGGTCTTCCTGCTTTGTTCGATATCGCGTATCGCTTAACGAGGACTGATAAATTGCTCGTGGATCGGTGAGATGGTTGACTGAGTTCTTGTGGATCTGGTCAATACTCTGTCGTATTTTCATTCTCGCAAGAGAGACATTTTTAATGTCCGCAGCATTCTCTCCTGGCATTGATAAATCTGACGATTCCGCTGTTGCCATACCGGTGACGCAGCTCATAAGATCGTCACTCAACAAGTTATCTTCAAGATCCATCTTCCAGCTGTCAAAGGAGTCTCTTCCATCAAGGATGGTTCCTTTGTAGTCTTTCTTGCCCATAGTGCCGGGTCTTTGCTGTCAACCGTCGATTCTTGACGAAAAAGTGTTCTCATATGCCGAGTTCAATCGTGCAGTGGAAGCAAAATAAAAGCAACCGGTGCATAACCTGTTGCGATTGAACTTGCTTCTATTCAATTCTGTCTGACAGCTCTCAACATATATATACATAGTGGCACGTCCGTGCCACTATCCAGTGACTCACCACTTGTAAGTGCTGCCTAAACATGTCTTGGTCCATGTCTCATACCAAGTCAACAGCCTGAGCTCCTCAAGTGTCTTCTCAACTATCTCAGCTAGTTGTTTGCCAGTGTGCGATCCTTTGAGCTCGATAAACTCAATAACCTCTTCTCCCTCCTCAAACTCCGGCGTAATCCAGTGCGCAATAATGGCGAAAATAGGCACCCGATTCGGTGCTGTCCAGATATCAAGGGTGAGCGAGATGGTAGCACAATTGTACTCAAGCTCAATCTTCAGCTTCTCTCTGCGTTCGACAAAGTCTGTGTAGATATGATTGCGTAAAGTTATACGACTCCTGTACACACAGGTTGTATTGTGAGCCAAGAACATCTCTTGGAAAGCAGGGGTCTCAACAACGGAGAAGGGTTGTCGGTGTTTTACAAACCACTGGCGGATAGACTCCTTTGCCGTGAGCCTTGCTCTTTGCCGGGGTCGACCGCTCCATGCATCTGCCTCTGTATACCGGTAATCTCCTCCGCCAATGGCGCGGCCGTATCCATTGATTCGAGCGTGGTGAGACTCCTTCGTAATATTGTGGGATTTTAAATGGTCTCCCATGCCAGAGGTAACCCCTCGGCGGTTCGATTCAAGGACCTGGAATATCTTCCGAAGAGTAGAAGGATTTTGAAGGCACTCTATACAAGTCCACCGGAACTCTTGGAATATCTTCGGTCCATCCTTGTACTCCGAGTAAAAGCTTCTGTCAATGGCTTCCCTCTGCATGTACCAATAAACGTGGCTGTTCTTGTCTCTCTTCTTGCGAACATGCTTCTGTTTGTTGTCGGCCCACTTCTTGATAAGTCCGGCTTTCTCTGCGAGCGTCATATGACTACCGGTACTGTCAATGGCGGCTCTGGTGTATCCGCGTCGGGCATGTCATCATCTGACTCACAGTCAGGATGGCCCGGGGGGGCGCAGACAATTGTATCTTCGCCAGTCGGAAGAGGGGACGAAGGAGCCGGAGTTGTGCTAGGGTCAGAGCGCGCGCGCGCGAGATTCTGAGGGTTGATTTGAGGACGTTCGATGCGGGCATAGTTCTGCGTTGGCAATTTACGCCGGGTCCTAGGAGCAAAGAAACTTGCTGCGGCAGATGTTTTCGATTCAGCAAGGGCCATACTATGTATCATGTTAAAATACTACGTCACGCCTTGCAGTTTAGAGCGGTTGTGCAAGGCGTACAATCAGCCGAAGGCTGCGAGTCCGCGGGCTAACGGGCCAAGCAGTCAATCACCGAGCAGTCAAATTATCTACAATCATGCAATAATTACATTATCTACGCCCACGGATAATTTTGGCAATATTTCTCCAATGCGAGTTGCATAACCTGGAGTTACGCTGGCCCGTGGTATGTCTTGTAGGGGTTCCGAGTAAGAACCTGTCGTCTGCGGATCTGCTGATCCCTCATCTTCATTTTGATGCCCTCGGGCGGAGATGCATAAGTCAGGTGATTGCGGTCAAACGGCGCATCCAGCATCAGACCCTGCAGCGTCTTCACGCGTGAGACGGCCACGTAGCTTAAACCAGTCTGGAAGTCTCGGCAGGACAGATCTGTAACGACCATGTCCTCGGTGATGCTTTGTGACTTGTGCACGGTAATTGCGTAGCATACGATCAGAGGAAACTGGGTGCGAGTGCAGAGAGTGGCTCCGATGAGGAAGTCCCTCTCCACTGGGAGAATCGGCACAATCTTCCTGCCATCAGGGGTGGTCAGGAATACCGGTCCGCTGTATTTGTCAAACTCCATCATGATAACGCAGGGAGGGTCTTGGATGGGGTCGACCCCAGGTGCCCAGCCGATATCGTAAACTGTGCCACGAGCGCCGTTGCAGAGGCCAACTGGCTGCCAAAGGTTGGACGTCAGCATCAGACGGGAGCCAATGCATATGGGGATCTGCTTCGCAAGGTTGCCCGCCTTGTTATCAGGCGCTGCCGCGGCGCCAGGGCCTACGTTTTTGGCCATTACCTGGATGACAGGCCGGCCGAGGCGGTCGAGGTGGTAGTGGTTGAACTCGTTGACCCTGTCTTTCGTAGCGTACACCCGTAAGGCGTTGTCGAACTTGGCAACCTCCCGATCGTCTAGCTTCGCCTGTACACGACTGGAGAGGAGCTTCCAGGACTCCTGGATAGTTGGTGCAGTCGCAACCCCGAGGGCCGTGCGAAATGCCTCCTGGTCGTCACCACGCTGACGCTGGACAACATTTAAGAAGACCGTCTTGTCGAAGCGCCGATATGCGTTCCGGCCCTTGATCTCTACTCCTGCACTTCCTTGTCGTAATAAAGCGGCTTCTGCAGCACTGGGGGAAGTTGAAAGAAGTCGCCAACCAACAGGATATTCAGGCCGCCAAAGAATTCCTCATTCCGATTCGGGAACGCCTCGCGGAGACGGTCATCGATCCATGATAGTTGACGCAGTCCTAGCATGCTCTTCTCATCAATGATCAGGTACTTGACATCCTTCAGCTTCTTCTGGAGCTGAGCCTTGTCAATCGCTAACAGGGCTTGAAGTCTTTGTTGATTGGGAGATGCAACAGGGAGTGCAAGGTAGTGCCCGAAATCTGATTTCCGCAACGCCTGTGGAGCGGCACGCCAAACAGGCGTTCCCCCCGCCTGCGGCGGCTTGGAGGTGGGCGGAGTATGTTAATGAGGTATGACTTGCCGGTGCCGCCTCCGCCATCTACGTGGAGCAGCAGCTGGGAAGCGTGCTGGGTCAGAAAGTGGTCCATGACCGTGTCGTACACTAGACGCTGCTCCGGATTTAGGGAATCGCGAGCATCCAAGGGTTGATCATCCACCTCAAGGGACATGGGGTTCTCCGCTTTGCGCTGCTTCCAGTAGTCGCCGGTCAGAATGCCACTGTCGGTATACCGTCCAACGTGGGAGTCCAATCATAATTCACATCGAGGTCTCGGCGGCCGAGTATGTCGATGTCCTCTTCCCCCAGCGGATGATCCGGCAGCATGCGGGCGAGTTCATGCCAATCTTCTTCCACAACGGGATCCACATGCTCCTCCAGCTCAAACTGATCGTCCTCTGCCCTCAGTTCCTTTGCTCCTGGCTCTCCGTAATGGTCGTCCTCATGGGAATGGTGCTGCTGTCGGCAGTATTGGTACGCGGCCGCGAAAGATTCGAACCGCTGCCCGCCCACAGTGAGCAACTCCTCTGGGTAGCGATGCGGATGGACCATCATCAACTTGACACGGCAGAAGTCATGAAACTGGGGAGAAGCCTCCGGCCGGTACCGAGGAAGTAAGACAGGACCCTCTTCTTCGCGTTCGCACAGAGTATCCTCCACGTCTTGAGATTGTACGACTGAAGGTACTCAAGGTAGGTTACTCGTTCATGCTGACCATTTCTCTCCAGATATTTCTGGTAGCTGCCGACAGTCTCATTGACATCATCGTCGACGCGGTACGACCGCGCATGATGCTCAACGGGCGGCAGTCGACGTACACCACCATCCGCGTACCTTCCTGCAGAGGATGTTGAGCAGCAGGTGGGAAATCTCTTGCGCCGAGTAATCCTCTCGGCAATCAGCTTATTCATAAGGCGAGAGGAGAAGGAGAGCAGGGGCTGAAGGTGCGCTGTGTGTGGCAACACCTGGTCGGCCAGCTTGCAGTATGGCTCGGTCTTCTTCTCAGATTTGCTGCAGTACTTCGCAGCGTACGTAATAACCGCCTGTAAGCTGGTGCAAGGAGATATGTCGATATTGGCCAGCCAGCCTAGGACAATAGCAGGATTGAAATGGTTCATGAGGCTGTCGTTCCGGGCCGCCTCGAAGACGAAGTACGACCTTCCTTCCTTCCTCATAACTGCGGCCAGCTCCCGCAAGGCGCGAGGGAAGTCAAAGCGGCACTCCCTCTCTGGATTGGCCGCATTTGCAGCCTCGATATCTGCAGCAGCCGCCTCCATGTCCCTCGCTAGATCGCCCGTTCGCTTTCTGACGCGCAAGCAGTACGTGGTATTGCATTTGTGACGCTGGCAGCGGTTGACAATTTGCGAGAGCCGCAAGAACGTCATCTCCGTGCCCAGCGGATCCGCGCTCAGGGGATTACCCTCACCTTGAGGCACAGTCCTACTCGGCTCGGGGTTGATAGCGGTGATGTGAAATCCCCACGTGCGTGCGAATACCTCGAGCGGCTTCGTCCTCCATGTCGGTCCCGGGGCAATCCTCCATCCAGTACAGGCCATGGTTGTGCGGGCTACCACGGCCCTGCCATTCATACCGATCCCAGTAATCCGTGACGTTGAACTTCTTCCTTAACACGATATCCCGAAAGAAGCAGTATCGGCGGTAGAAGTGAAAGCTGCAATGTGAGGGTTCTGCCGCAATAACTGGCGGGATAGAGCCATCCTCTCCGACTCGGATGCGGCCAGCCATTCTTCATATCGGGGCATGTGTTGGTAGAGACTCCGCCAGTGCAGATCTGCCGGGCTAAATGTGATGAATGCACCAGGACAGCCAAGGTTATAGGCATAAGCCTCCAGGTCCTGCCTCTTTTTGTTCCAGAAGGGGCGTGTACCGCGAATAGACACTGCGTGTCTTGTGATCGAGTTGATCAGCGCCTGCGCCTCGGGGTCTTCGCTGTGCTGGAGCGCCTGAACAAGCCGCTCTCTTGTGAGCGCTTCATGAGTGCCATCGTGCTGCTTCACAAAGAACTTGGACCGTGTACGTGCCTGTGACCGCATTAGAGTGTTGAATGCGACGAAGCGGAAGGTCGGGTGGCGGGCAAAACGCCCGTCATGCCAACGCATCGCGTGCTCAATGTAATCCTTGTAATCAATGGAGCGTAATCGAGGCTCAACAAAGTCAGCTCTACCGTCAGGAAAGAGGCAGGGAAAGGCCAAGGAGAGAAGGGCATGAGAGCGATTGAACTCGTTTATTGGCGTGTGCCGTATATTCGGGAGCTGCAACTCGTGTTGCGGCCGAGCCTGGACGTTCGTGGGAAGCTCTGCATCAGCTTCTGATTCTCTAGTGAGAATAGCCCGCGGAGCATCGAGCTCCGTGTCCTGGCCAAAAGGTCCGGCACCGCAGCTTCGTCCTCTAGGTCAGGCTCTGCCTCGTGATCTTCCTCGGGTCCAACATCGGCAGCCTCCACCTGACTTTGGGGTATTGCATCCAGGATATTGCCATTCTCAGGCAGTTGGCTCAGCCGCTCTTCGTCGATAACGATGCATCGATAGCCAGGATGATGGCGCCGCAGGTAGTTGAGCCATATCACAACCGCCTGGCGGCGCACGGAACTGGCGGGTGAATTGCCGGCTAAGATTGGCGTAGGACGACGTATTGGCAGGCCGTAATAATACAGTGTTCAACTCCTGCGGCAACAGCGGGAGCTAGTTGTACACTAAGCCAACCTCGCGGAGGAAGTGAACGACGTGCCCCCGATATTTGTACTGCTGCCCTCGCACAAGCATAATGTTGACGTGGGCGTGAACGCGAGCAATCAACGACTCTTCGGTAGGCGTAACCTCGGGCAACCGGGCCGACACAGGGCCAAAGTCGAGCTGATTATCCGCAGAGAAGAAATGCGGCTCGCGGGGGCCGCGTTTCGCATCCTTTCGATAGCAACGCGCACAAATGCCGTCAGTATCGATATTCATCTGAAACCAACTCTCTTGGCATCGACTGCAAAACTGCATTTGGTCATTGTCCAGCTTTGTCCAGAACTCGCGGAGGGTGGTCTTGTCACGGTCAGTCAAGGCGCAAGCGTCGAGGTCGCCATTCCACGCCGGATCTTGTGCGTGAAATACCGCCGACTGTTCAGGTGGAATCATTACCGGGCTCCGAACACGTCGTGGCGGCCTCAACGGTCAAGTTTGCCTTCGAGATTGTCTCGGCCGCCCTCCTGTACCTGGGGCAGGACCACGGCCGCCACGCCTTGGCTGTGCCGAAGGCTGCCGCATGCGATGGCGAAGAGGGCTTCCATCCACGTAATCATCATCGCTGTCCTCGTCTTCGTCCCCTAGATCGGAATCGGGCTCCACCTCTAATTGTTTGAGGTACCGGCGAGGTCGAGCGGGTGAAAGCAGCAAGTTGAAGTAGGCCTCAGCGTCAATATCGGACTCAGAGAACTGGCCGCTGTCATGTCCTTCCCTCCTTACCTCATCCCCATCTGGAAGCCCAATCAGCTGCGGTCGATCTTGACTCGCATCTACGTTCCGTGGTTAGCGCAAACAAACTACTGCGAGCACAGCGCAAGGATATCTTCTCCAGGAACCTCCGAACCTTTAAAGACGCCGAGTTGGGATATTGTGGGAGTCGGTGACACAATCTCCCCTGCACGACGCCGTGAACGGTGGTCGCGCTGGATAGCGGCCTGCTTGGCCCTCGCCCCAGTCTTGGAGGCATCATCTTGTGAGTGCTTCCCACCTTTGTGGAACCTAGACGCTAGGTAAGAGTAATCTTTGTCGGCTATGCTGATGCTTCGTACAGTAAACGGACTAGAATCTGAGGCGATCGGATGGGTCGTTGGCTGTACGGTGGGGGAGGGAGCAAGAGTCCGGAAGAGCCGCGAGCTCTGTTGGGTTGGTGGAATTGGCGTCCCAAGCACTACCTGGGGCTGGCTCTTTGGCTCTCCGAATAACCTCCTAGTTGTATGAAGTTGCCATAGCTTCTCTGGCGATGTGGGCCGGGTTCCGGATCTCTCGTTGCAAGGCGATAGACCAGCATTCCCTTCAGTTCTCTTCAGAGCAGGTCTCTCGGCTAAGGAAGGACGGGCGGCGAGATTTCTCAACGTCAGGGTCGCGCCTCTGGATCTGGAGTTCTTCATTTAGTTAGCGTTGAATGGCCTTACGGAGTGAGGAAGACGGAGCTGACATGAGAATTGCACTGACTACGACAGGCGAGGCAGTTCTTGATCTTCCAAACAGACTTCCGTTTGCTGACGAAGTCACCCGCCGGTTTCTCCTCGCCACAGCGGGCACAGACAATGGAAATCGAGTCCATCTTGAAGCCCTTGAGGGAGTAGACTTAGGACTCAGTACTTCGCGAACCACGCATCAAGACGCGTTGCTTCAACGAAGTTTCCACGTCAAGGCGACGCGCAAGTAAACAAACCAGGGTTGCTACGGGCCACAGACACCTAGTCCCACCTTTTTGCAGCCGTTATCCAATTGTTGCACGTTTTGCGGCCGTCCATACAAAATTCGGGCCAATCAGAACTCGGGAAACTTATTGACCCCTGTCTGCACCAAACCCTCATTACGAGAGGAAGGCTCGCCAGCCGCGGCTCGCGCAAAGAAGCCTTTCGGAACGAAATTTGGCGACAAGAGAACCGGAGAAGAGTTGGCTACAGAAGAGAGAGAGAGAGTTGGCGACAGTAGATAGGAGACAGGAAGAAGAGTGAGGTCGAGATACGAGACACGGCGAGAGACGTAGAGCATTATCGTGAGTGAAACCGAGACAGAGCGTCGGGGAGGCAGGCTAGGCCGCTGGAGGGAGATTTTGTTTAAAAGGCGCAAACTCAAAGGGCGTGGAGAGACGGCAGGGTTGAAGAGAGATGTGAGTGGGTAATGCATGTCTGGGCGAGTGGAAGGCTCGGAAAGTTTACATGTGCTACCGGTATAAGTCGTAGGTATAAACAGAATAAGGAGTATATTGGGAAGTTTTGACTTGATCGTCTTCATGAAAAGGAGAACAAGAAGAGAAGAGAATGTGCTATTCGAGCCTTTGGCAGTTGATTTTGAGGATGATGAGACATGTTGTCATGTTGTATTGTTTCGTTTGATGCTTTAAAGTTTAGAGAATATTCTTGGGCGGACGTCGGGCGCGCAGTGGTCGGGAAGATATCGACGCGGGAGGTCTGATAGAGCCAGAGGCGGATGTGTCTTGGTGATTGACCTGTTCGGTGTCCGTCTCTGACTCTGCGGGGTCTTCCGGGGACAGAAAGGAGGAGGTATCGGATTTGGGAGTCTTGACCTTCACAGTCGGTGATTATGGTGGAAGTTTCGGGAGAAAGTCGCGGTCTCTTGGTTGGGGTTTGGTAGGGATCGGGCAATGACCGACTTGATGCCAGCATAAGGGATCGACTGGGCCAGAAGCATGCGGCGTGGGGAGGCGGGGCTTTGGGCGGCCTTGGGTTTCTTCGTAGAGGTAAACCTGGCCAACGCAACGCTATAGTCCGAGGATTGCCGACCGCGCTCTTGGGTGTCGTCGGCAGTAGTTGTGTTGCAGAAGCCTGGTCGGACATGGCCTTGTCGTGGAAAGTCCACGTGTCGGGGACGACGATGAAGATATAGTCTTGGTCGAAAGCCGGGGCATGTTTCATGATCTGGTGATCCAGTAAGCCGGCGATTTTGCCCGTACAGGTGAAGAGAGCGTTCGACTGGAACTGGCTGTCGCGCCTCTCGGTCATCTTCTTGCATAGGAGGTCCAAGGATTAGCGTGAATGGGAAGATGACGAAAACTTGGAAGGGTGAAAGCCCTTGAAGGGGTTTTGCCGGGAATCCCAGGACAAATAAAGGTGGAGAGCTGGACAAAGCCGCAGCAGCTCAGCTGGGTGTCGTCAAGGGCCGCAGCCGAGTTTCCATGCAGGAGGTCGCGGCCGGAGCCGATGACAGGTCCCGTGAAGGAGACAATGGGTTGTATCGTTGGGAAAGTATCCACCGAGCTGAGGTGCGAGTGACAATTCTATGGATATCGTCAGGAGGGCAGTGGCGACAGAGATTTGGAGCATAGACTCACGGTTGGTAGCTGTGATCGCGGACTATAAGCGCGGGGACGGTGTATTCTGTGATGTTATCATCGTCCGACTCCAAGCCATCACGTCGCTCGATTTCCCACGTCAGGGCAAAGGGATGAACACGGC